AAAACCAATGTTGGATTGGGTTTCCAGAAGAGCTGCAAAGCAATCTTGCCCTCTTGGGACTTACATCAATATTTGACATAGAATTCATAGTAATTTTTTATCATATCGGGAGGAGGAGACTAGTTGAACAAATATCAGAGAGATGGAAAGGTTTACTAAGAGCATTGGGAAAACAAGACAGTGACCCTTGAGGCTTGGACACAAGACAACCCAAATGGAAAAGGTTGGATAAAATAACAAAGTCAGTTACCTGGACACCAGAGAAGACAAATGTGAACATAAAGAAAGCTAAGAGAGAAATCTTGGATAGAAATACTATTGAATTCGTCCTCATTTTTTGCATTAGAGAAGGTTTAGAAGTCCTAAAATCTATGGTCATATTCATTTTTTGGGGGGGGACTCAATGTTGTGAGATCTTAACATACAAAAAAACAGTTACAGAGTTACTAGGCAAACAGTCCTTTACCATTATACTCATAATTTATTGTATAATACTCATAGTGGTTTTGTATGAGTAAAACCCTACTATGAAATCTGCCCCACCCCCATAAAAGTTCTGCACAAAATGACCTATAATTGATATTTTGAGGAAATCCTTTTTTGTCAAGATGGCACTGTAATGCCCTTAAAATATTTAATACTGAGCCAAACCCATGAAAATGACAATATGTGGCCACATGCATGCAGTTAATATGAAACAAAATGATGCCCCATGACTCTTATCTACAAGCAGTGAAACGGTTAACGATTTTCAAGGCACTGATTTAGATTCTGATGCACATTTCAAATGCAAAGGACACTAATACAGGTTTACATTATGGATCATAAACTAATAGACATTAAAGTAAAATAAACCAAAAAAGAAAATATAAGGAAGTGTGAATGAAACACACAAAGATTGTACTGTTGTGCCTCAGATCAATCCTCACTTATTTGCAACAATTACACAAACCTGTATACAGGTGCTAACAATTATACCATAGCAGGGATTTTTCTTCAGGTAATGGGTTAATATTTTACAGATGTGTAAGGTTGGAATTTGACAGTCTCCTTACAGCTGAAATTCTTTTCTTTTTGTCTAACTGTCACTGAGACTGTGCCCAGATGAACATTCCAGACACAAAAAAAGAAGTGGCCAGTAGCCCCCAAACATTTTGCTGAACAAAACCTTAAAATGTGACCTTCCTCATTTGTTTGCATCTAGCCTAGCTCCATTATTGAGCAGCATGAAAAGGCTATCACTCACAGTCACTACAAATTACTACACAACACTTGCACCTAAGAAGAGATTCCACAGGGCTAGCTGAAAACAGGTGAATCTTCTACAAAGCCAATCCAAGTTTGACTAAGTGTCAGTGTCACATGAGGGAAGATTGCTGTATCAGTCACAGACAGTCAAAAATTCCTTCCACTTGATTTTCCACAGTACACAGACACATAGGGGTCCTTTGACTGATATGACAACTTTGTTTAGAATGCATCTTTATAGGAGGGTTTCTGATTAAGACCAAGTACATGTACTTATACATGTAGGAAATGGTAAGGTGAAGATGGCTGTGTTTTGTAAGATTTTGCCGGTAGATGGGCAAGGTCCCACTTTTAAAATTGAAATTGAAGAAATTTGTCTTACATGTATGATCAAAACAGTACACACATTTTGACCAACTTTGTGAATCCAATGTAATTTGTGGAAAACTCTGTACTTCACTGTAACAAGCTGTAACTTGGCTATTAATAAGTCCAAGTTATTCACCAGCAGAATAAGACATGGAGTTGTCGAGAGTCATCTTTGCAGTTAATTTGTGACTGTGTAAACAAACACGTACACTATATCATTAATAATTACGTCCTTCTGACCCTCCAACACTATGCATAATAGAGGCCTCATTTCCTGATGATCAATTTGCTAAGATGACAGTCAAATGTACTAAAGTTTGCCTGGCAATACAACCCTTACAATACCATCTCTTTGCTAACGAGCCATACTGTGGCTAGCAATTCTTAGTCTCTTTTCAAAGCAGCTTATCTACCACTCAGAGATGGAAGTTCTGAGGTTTCTCCCTCGAGGAATGCAAGCATTATCCACACATAAAAGAACCAAACTCTAAAAAGCAGACATCAACACCAGTAAGTGCTTATTTCTTTCTAACCCTTCAGGCGCAAGGCTTGAAGCACAACATGATCCGTAAACTAATCTAGAGATATTTGCTTTTCTGTTATGGATTTAAATGGAATCCCTATCTTTTGTTAAAGAGAAGAGGATTATTAACTAGAGTGAGAATTTCAACAGATCTGCTACTATGCAGGCGCCAGTACCAAGAGGAAGATGAGGATTGGTGATAAGAGACTAGATGCATCAATTGCACCAACAAATCCAATTTACTTTTTTTTTCTTCTTTGTCATCAAGTTACAAAGGTACATGTCGAAATTTACAAGGCTGATAAAAGCGTTATCCTGGTTATCAAACACGTCTGTACCTCTACGGATAGTCAGAATAAAATCATATGTTCAGAACTTAAGGCCGTCTAATTTCTCTTAATCATGGTACTTTCAGTATACCTCCTTAGAGAGAACAGTACTTGAAATGAAAGCCTCCGGCTTAATGTCAGACAACTACTAGTATCTTTAATCAATACCCACAAGCAGACTACTAATAGAAGTCTCCACATTAACTTGTTTTTCTAAACTCTTACGTTTTGAGAGTAAATCAAAATTCCCTTAAGCCATAATTATATGTAGCTTAAATCCCAAGAGATCGGAAACCTAAGTCCTGACAATTCAGCAGATCAAGTTTTACCACCTGGGAATATGCATGTTTAGACCACCTCTGTATTTCTACTCGCAATTAAAAGCTCTCCAATACATGTACATGTATGTCACCCAACCAAAGAAAAATCACCTCAGCCACTTTGAGTTAAAGGCTTTTAAATAAATCTTGTACAATTTAAATCAACAGCAGTCACAAATAAGAATCATCATGTGAAATATTGATGGATTGCTTGAAGCTATGTTGAAAAGCCATTTAATTATTCCTACTACGTCAAGAGTTACTTCAGGAAAAATGAAGTGCATGTAATTCCATACCTCCCATCACTAGAGGTTTTCATAAAAAGGATGATCTTCTAAAAATACTGAAGTGTGTGTTTTGTCAGGTTTAAATGGTCCCTCTCCACTCCAAAACAATCATTAAAACAAGCAAGGTATTTCTTTGCACTGCAAAACTAATCTTGTAGTTATTACCACCTTTTGCTTTCTATTAGATGACATCATCCTTTATTTTCTCCACCTCAATAGAATCAAATTATTATAATAGCAAGAAATCCTGGAAGCAGGATTTCTCAAAGGCATCACAGACCTAAATTTTAGCAGTGCCGGAGACATTTTCCAACAACCACTTTCCAAACAAATTCAACAAAGCGCAGTGTTCAATGCCTTCAGTGATAGCTTCAACACTCAGACCTATTCCTAGATAATAGTTCAACTCCACAATGCCTTTTCCCTTGAGGTTTCCTTCGAAGTGATTCAGAGAAATTAAAAATACAGATTCTTTTTAATTGCTCCTTTGTCCTCTTGAGACCAAAACAAACCCTTGAGAAAGTCTCCGCACACAACACAGATGAACTCAGGTAACCTTTCAGCATAGAAGCAATGAATTTTCTTAAAATTTTTTGGACAACTTTATACTCGTCATTGTATGAAGATTACCTCTCCTTCTTTTCAAGTTAATTGCATTGGAAATGCACTTATTAAATATATTTATTACAAAAAAGTGCATTATTTTATTACATTTTTTACTACAAAAAAGTCTTCCCATGATGTATGTAACCATAATCCCATAAAGTGGAAAAAAAAAGGAAAAAAAAAAGAAAGTATCTGCCATTTAAAGGAGTACTTACTAATCATCAAAGGAAGCAGTTCACTCTGTCATCATTAACAGAGCTTTCAGGAGTTCATTGGTTACGTCTTAAATCTCTGGGACTTTGTTTAACAGGCAGGTACACAAACAGAACCTACAAACTTTCACATAGGAAAATGCACCTGTACATCTGCACACATGAAGGAACAGACAAGGCTTTTAAAAAATATTTTCAAAGATCTTCTGTGGCATTCCAAGTGACTAGTTTTACAAACTGCCGTTGCAATCACTTTGTTCTCTGGTTGGATTTTGTTTGAGCATCCAGTTTGTTTATTCAACTTCACAGCTCAAACAACGGACATTAAACATTTGTATAACCAGTGAATTTTCTTTTCCCATTTTTCTGACAAAGCTGATTGAAAAAAAAGGGAGAAAGGCTTTCATCATCTCAAAGTCACGGTGCATCGTTGTCAGGAGATTGCAAAATAATTAAATTGCTCCTTTGAAGAGCACCACACGATGCACGCAATAAGACCAGTCATTGTCAATTTGTAGCTGACGTTCTGATTAAAGTTTGATTTCTGGAGACGCTTCCTTACGAGAACAGTCTGAAAACACTTGCTGCTTCTGCATGCTTTCTAGCCTTGATGGTTCATCAGAATATGTTGTCATGAGGCCTCATATAAAAAAGTTGACAAGCCAGTCTTCATCTTCTACTGTCAATATCTCTGTCCACACATCTTATGCGAGACAGCAGTGCACTTTGGATAGAGGTATCTCATTGTTTACTCCCTTCTCGCAAAACTGCTTGTGGCAGCCTTAGGCTGACAGCTTAACACACAGAGTGACAGATGTTGACACAGAAAATGCCACATCCTTAATTACAAACCAACGGAAAGTACTGTACTGCTTTTAACAACCAAAGTCAGGGTGACATGCCTACCTAGCTTGTAGGGATGGCATGAATAGATGATTTTATTGTCTGATGAATTTTTATTACATTTACTTTTTGCGTATTAAGTTGTTTATGCATTTACATGTGCATGTATATGCATATGCATAAATACAAAAACACACAACATGAAACATGAATGCAAATTACAAGTCTACACTTTGACCTCTTACTGAGAGTTGTTGCCTTACCTGAATTGAGGCTATCAGCTTTTTGTTGGAAACGAGCTCAAGCAACTTGTCAACTGAAGCCATTGGCCAATCAGAGTCAGGCAACGTAGCGCCCTCATAGGCAGCTGATGGGGACGGTGGTTTTAGACCTATGAGCTGGCACTGTCGGGCTTGCATGGGCAAAGTGGTAAATTTTTCTGGAATCTGTCGTAACCTGAAAAAAAGAAAATTCTGAAGTGAGTTTTTAAAAAGAAAGAACTAGAATAGACCCTTGCAGTTGGTACTTGGTGATAGTTCCATTAGGAACCATTGGGAAAAGCATGACGACGTACAATCCATCCATTGCACAGATTAAGGTGTGCAGTCAAGGTGGGAACAAAAGCCTCAGAACATGCTCTTACCTCATTAAAGATGCAAAACAAAATCATTTACTGGAAAATAATTCTTTCACTTCCGATTATTATTCCACTTCAGATTGGGATTCCTCGGAATCAGAATTGTATAAAACTTAGAAGTGGACGACAATGGGATCAATTAAAGCTAGGACATCTCAATAAGCAAACTCCTTCATACCATTCTCCATTTGACAAATGAATGAGAACTTATTCAAGATCTGTCAGTTCTACATTAAAGATTAGATTAATAGCAGTGGATAAGTTATGATGTATTCCACTTGTAGTTTTTGTTAAGCTGTATGCATTATTAATTGATTGTTGTCCATGTATGCATGTATCTTGTGTTAATATGTACTTTGTTTTAAGAGCAGAAAGCTATGTCAACAATGCAAACTCCATGAAGAACAAATAAATTTAAATTTGAATATTGAATGTGCTAGTATTCATTTTTAGTTTTAGATATTTCTTTGAGTTCTCAGAGTTTATTTCTCAACCCTTTGATGCATGCACATGCAGTCAGACAGGTTTATTTTTCTAAGTGATCCTTTAATTTCTTCAGCCAACCTCTTGGCTTGTTTTGGACAATCTCAGCTCTGATATTAAGTCAACATTTCAGACAGACAGTTTAGGAACAAACACTTTCAAATTCATCTCATGATTACTCTGACATGCAAGCCAGTCCACCTGGAGGTGGACAAAACAAGAGATGGATATCCATTACAGATACTGCAATTCCCATGAGCACACCCCTAAAACAACAGTTACTTCCAGAAAAGAACTGACACCACTTGTTTTATTTCAACAAGAGGCTGTTGCCAGTTCCAGGACATCTACTTTAAATCACCTGTGGGTGAGGCGAGTGATACTCACCCGCCTAAGAAGAGGGTAGGACTTCACGATTATCTCACCTGTCTTGAGACAATGTGCAATGTTCCTGCAAGCATTCATCTTGAAGGTTACATTCTTTTCATCTTTTCTGATGAAGAGTGTATTCTGAACACCCCACACACTGTTCATTTCGGGTTCTGAGGATAACCTCCTCAATGCATTCAATTCTGACTTGGCGTGTGTAATGCTTTATCGGTTTTCACAAGCAGGATTTATAATACTCACTAAAAGGACAAGTTGGGAAAACATTCCTCACAGAGCTTATGGTAACGGGATGTTTGCTCATTGATGATGAACGGTGCTACCTCTCTAGTCTATAGACCCAAGTACACCAAGAATTTTGGTGTATGTACATGTATGATACAAGCACGCTGCTGTTAAATGTATGCAAGTGCGTGCATGTATGGTACCTACACTCTTCTTTCTAACCTGTGCCATATGATCACTTATTCAAGTTTACAGTTTAATTACCATCTCTCGGTCTCAAGTTGTTTTCCTTTGACAGAAATTGTTTTTAAGGCTTTCAAGCATAGGAACAGTCTTCATTCATTTTGACTCCAAATTCCATGCATTTTATTAAGCACTTTCACTTGATTGTATCCAGGGACTGAAAAATCTCCCCAAATCTAAACAGAATGAAAATTGAAAGTACACGTATTGTTCAAAAGGATAATGCACTCCGATGACAAAGACGCATTAGAAAAAAGGGACCTATGCAATCACAATGGAGTCTTTGGCAGTCCAGGCTTAAATTATCAGTTTAGAAAATCACTCACACAGCCAGGGAAGTCACTCAATTGCTTTACCTGCATAGTAACTCTGTAGTTTTTGTCAGATCTGAGTGTGAGCATTCATAAAAGTTTTATCCACTGAGCACGAAAATGGGAGCTTAATACAACTGCAGGTGATTTCAATCTAAATACATGATAAACAAAATGAATCTGGCAGACAGTAATATAGACAGATAAATTAGACAGGTGGATACACATGTGACAGATACATTTGGGGCTTGGGAGGTAGACATGGTGATAAATGCAGATAGGCAGACAGCTGATTTCAATGTGCAAACATACATGCACATCCAGGGGTTAGAAGGACACCTTTCACTCCCCTCTTTTTGGAATTATAAAAAAATGAAATAAAAAATGAAACAAATTACTAATTAACTCCTCTAAATATCTGCATGTGGCTCTTCCAATTTCCCATTAGTATCTACCAGTATTTCCAATCAACTCATCCTTAGGCCTATTGCTCTAGCCAGTAGGACTTACTTTCTTGTGCCCATCTTATTTCTGTGTTGAGCAAATAACAGCTGAAAAGTAGTCACATATGAGTTCTTCCAGAAACTTGGGGTCCATTTTTTTTGTGGCCCTGTCACATCAACATATGATTTTATAAGTTCAGAACACATTTTCCCATTTCCAAGAGTGATGAATTAATGCAAATTACCTGCCAAACTAAAAGTAACAGTTTCAAATCAATTCCAGTGATATTTCCATGTAAAATAACAAAGGTCAGATGTGACAGGGACACCAAAATGTCACACTTTTGGACCTATATGTTTCTGCTTTGGAGTATAGTACATGTCTGTGCTTAACAACTTCAAAAAACACTGGGCCCCTGTAATTTTAGTTGGCATTATGTAACTCACATTTCAGGCTAAACAAATGAATGTGAATGTTATGAACATACCAGTACATTAATTGTAAATTATGCTTTCAATGTGACTTTTTTGCATAATACTCTGGACTGCATTGGCTTTACTCTGTGAAACTGAACTACAGTATAAACAAACTTAAGCTGTTAACATCTGGGAAAGATCTTCACCCATCAAAACATGCCTTGTATTAAGCAACCAAGGCCAGAAGTCTTTGTTTTCCTCCAAGTGTGGATAATTCCCAAATTAGATTCTCTGGACCCTTGGGATCAAATGATGACCAAGGTTGACCATGAGGAAAGTCTGGCCACCCAGGAATGACCCACCAAAATGAAAGCCATGAATTTCAAACAGGACACCAACTGCCCATACAGCTACATGTAGTTGCACCTGTTTGTTGATACATCTCCAAGGTGATGACTCCAATTTGTGGCTTTCTAGTAAAACCCAATGTCCTTCCCTCTGGTAACTCAACCTTAAAGATTAGAACACTTAACGTTATTTAGACTGAATCAAGAACCATGGCATTCCATGGGTCAACAGGAACTTTCTCTGAGGGGACCCCAGAAAGCATCTCTGGAGGACAAGACCCAATATATAATAATGATCTAGAACAGGTGCTAGTGTCACTGAAATATGACATAAACTCAACTGAAGGGAACATAAAGAAAATACTCTGTTTATCGAGATTAAACCACGCTATCTCCATTTTGATGGATGCTTCATTCTTACAGGATGTGACCCCTTGTTCTCTTAGTAATGCATCCCACCCCAAGAAACACAAAACTGCTTGAAGACATTGCAAACACAATCATGGTCAATTTAATTTGAAAAGAGGATGTCTGTTGTCAATTCCATAGACAATTTTTGTTCAAATATCACTGGCTTTTTCTCAGCTAGTAAATTGCCAAATTTCTGGTTGGAACTCAAATGACTTTTTGGTCCAACAAATTATTCAATACATTTTTGTGATAACAGAAATTGCATCCAGTCATCCAGACAGCCAGTAAATGCTAAGTGTAGCCCCTTGGTTGAAGGACGATATCCCTTTTTGTCTCACATTTTTAATGATTCCAATGTTGCTGGTAGCCTTTTAAATATACTACTTCATTGTCCCATATCACTTCATTTATGCCGTCATATCAACAGCAGTCACAAAGGATAATCATAAATACGTTGCAGAACACAATATAGTATAAAACTCGTGTCACATCAGAGATGATTGGAATTAAATGTATCGTCTCTATGATATATAATTCCATTTGTAACAGCAGCTGTTAAATACATGTATGTGACTCGTTGCAGATAAAATTCTTTTTTAACACAGCGGAAGCAGAGTGAGATCTGGATGTAAATGTCTACAGCATTTATTGATATTAACAGATGCTTTTCCCATGGACCAACCATAGTGATTAACATTTAATCAACCGGGTTAGAAATTCATCCCAACAGATGTTTCAGCCAAGTTTTACTTCTGCCTCATGTTTTGTAATCAAATGCCTGAAGTGAAACTAAAAGAGCAAAGCATGTTATGGCACCCCAGTATCATGGCTATCCAATACATGCCAATTAACTTGGTAACTCTCATAAGTTACATGTACAGTACCTCAGTTTGTCTCAAGCTAACTTCTTTCCCACACATCAAATCTAACAGCAGAAGCCTGGGTTAAAAAGGACGGGTTCAAATTCCTTTGGGCAAGGACAGAAAGTTCTGGTAAAAATGTTAAATTTGGATTACCTTCAGACAACAATGCAAAACAAATCAAGAATATAATAACAAACAGAGAAAGACTGCACACAGATGCTTGTTATCAAAGCAAGACAGGGCTAAAGACTGGTTCCAGATATGGGGGTAAGGCACAGGTACGTACATGTATGTGTACATCAGCAGAACAATATACGTGTATGTCACTCAAAAGCCATTTTAAGAGTTACACATTTTTTTAATACATGTAACTTTTGTCACAAAAAGTAGGAAATGGTAAATGAAACAGAGTGAGAAATTGTTTGATGGCTCCAACGAATCTCTCTAATATTAGTCAGGGGAAAATTGTGACAGAAGTGTAATTTTTCCCAAACATAGAGATTTGGTTGTTTTCTCTACCACTTTATTTTGTCTTTACTGTGATACCATATTTTCAAACCCTCAAGCAGGTCAGAACATCTCCAAGAAAAAACTGAAACCAACAGAAACAAGAAAGCAATTGCTTCAAAATATGTTTTTGCGAAAAAAGAAAAAGGATTAAATTCCCCTTGTGCATGTGTTAGCCATACTTAAGCCGATCAGGAAGATTAAACTCTCAGGGATTTCTTTTTAAGTTTTCAATATTCCAGTACTGTCAACCCACGCTTTGACATTTCTTACTTTTCATTTTCGTATAAGTTCTTAAAATTGAATGTTTATTGTGAGCAGCGTACAGTGTATCTCGCATAATCGAAGTTTGATCCAATTTTTAATCTTTTTGTTGTTTTCTGCTGTTTTCACTGTCCTGATAGAAGATGGATGCGCATGAATTAAAATTACATGTACTTTTAAAAATGTCCTTTCCTGGGAAGTCATTCTGTTCTTAGACCAAAGATAACAACTAACTGTTTTTGGGGGCTTCTTTTTCTAAGTACATATAATTAAAATCAAATTTGAATTAATAGGAATCCTACATCACGAAGCGACCAATAAAGTTATATTATATGCCCATATGGACTGAATAGTACTTGCTTAAATTCAATGACACAGTAACAGTAATTCATTGGTCCAAGGAAATATCAAACTGAGCATCTAAATGAGCAAATAGTTTACTGACTTTCAAAGTCCAAACTTCAGAAAAAATAGATCTAAAAACAAATGCAGAGTGATGACTACTGAAAATAAAATTAAATTGGAGTGGACATACATGTAATAGCTAGCCAAAAGTTTGCATATTGATCTGACAATACATGTAGTTATGTAAACTTCACAACCAGCAATGGTAAAGAAATAATGAGTCTACGGGCAAGTTCAAGTGATGACTATAGTCAACTATACAAATGTACATGTAGTTTGAGTAACACCACCCCAACGATGGACGGTTTGGACTGTCGAGTCGACTATTTGGGACCAGGCCCAGGGGTATGGTCGCATCACTGGTTACCAATAGCCGATTTCATTTATCATTACAGAGGGAACCATTCACATGAAAATAACTGTCTCAGATTTCACTCACAATGTAAGCTGGGAGTACCCAGCCAACGGTGAAATGTGAATAACAGTGAGATTTAAAAAATTGAATTGACAAGGGTCGTTCGAGTGTGACTGAATTGTGCATATTGGCATTGTTAAAAAGCAATTGACTACTGGTCCAACTAGGGGGGGTACTGGTATAATTCGCACCTGACTTGCCCTACTTTGATGATCTGTCCTAGATCTAGACATGTACCACTACGTAGCTGCCTCAAGATGATCACTCAAAGTGTAATTAGGCTATATAAATGGCTTAAAAACTTTTTTAGAAGCACATGTAGCTGCCCTAAATGATTACTGAGTGAAATTGTACGAGTATACGTGGTTGAGTTTTTTTTAGTTTCGAAGCACATGTACCGGAATACGTACATGTGGCTACTCTACTGGTAGATGATCCCTGACAGTGGAAGTATGGATTAATGGCTTATGGATTGTTTATTTTATTCTGGAAGCACTTAAAGTTATTCAAGATGATAAGTGACTGTGAAATTACGCACTTTTTTTAAAAAAATGGTTCAATGATTTTCATTTTTATTTTTGTTTGTTGTGCAAACTGAAATGTTGGCACACACATCTTAAAACCGATAAAAATTTGAATAAGCCACAGCTGTTCTCTGCTCATTGCTGGAACAAAGAGACCCAAACATTAAAAGGTCAACAGCTGTCTTATCATGGTAAATTGAGGGCACTTTCTGGCTTTCCTAATCTGACTAATTGGATTGAAGAGAGGCATCTAAGCTAAGTAATTTGTGGCTACCGCTTCAGTTTTTTAACCATTGCCATACTACAGTGAAAAGCTGTACCCAATTTGCTTGTGCTATCAAACATTGAACTGTGGAATGTTAAATTTGCACTGAACAAACAAGGAAACAGCCATGCAGTTGATTGCTGCACATATATTTAAGCTGAACAGAGCAGTCATGCTACACATTCAACTAAATGTTAGAGACTGCAATGTTGTGTAAACATTTCAATGCAAACAACGATCCATGTACAAGTCTTCAGATAAGCTTGATAAATGATGCTACACATAGGATGCACTTTATACAATACATATGTGGGCGCTCATGCATACAATTTCATCCCAAATCACATGGTACTGTCCATTCATCTCACACTTCACTCCAGCCTATGTTTAGTTTCAGAACACCTGTACTTTATGAGACTGAAGGGCTACTGATATTCAGCTCCCCAGAGTTTAAGATTGACATGAGAAGACAACTTGTCACAGATTTTGCACTATCTCATTTATCATGCAAACACGTTATGCTGGCTCACTTGGGCATTAAACATGCGCAGCGACTGTTAAAAGTACACATGAGATTTTTAACTTTTTTTGAAAATTTCTACACAGGATTTTTTCACATGAGAAATTCCTTGCCTTCTGAAGATTTTGTCACATTACAAATTATTCATACAATACAGTGTTTTAAACCATGACTGAGTGATTAACTGCATCAGAAATGCTCAAAGTATGCATGAAACATCCAAGCATGTTATGCCTCTTTGTGTCAGAGAGGCACCAGTGAATCGGCACGCAGACACTTTGTGCACACAACAGATCTTCATCTTCAGCAGTAACCATCTGGATTACTCTGGTTACTTGCCAACTACAAGTATTACAGCATCTGTCATCACTACCCGAGGGGTTTGTTCTTATGTGGGCTTGAGTGTTCTCTGGTGTATGACATTTTCTGTGTAAAGGAGTCCATTGTGGCTAGCTCTCCAGTCTGTTCACCTGCTTTAGTCATACCTATATTGTGGTCACTTCTACAGCTGCACCTGTCTGCTGGGGCCCCATCCATAACCACCTGTCATCAATTTAAACCAGCTATTGGTACATTTTATGCTTTCTGACAACTTACCAAATTGTTTGTCTGAATATAAAAGGACTCACCCTTCAAATGGTACCCACTCCGTCGTGCCATAATCCACAAACTGGACTTCACAAAGTTTCTCAGTCGACTTGACTTGGTGAATTGTTGTACGGAACCACTGCTGGTTGACTTGGTAGAGAGCACAGCAGCACAAACCTAAATATTGAAATGAAGCATAAAGGCTGATGATAAAAGTCAAAACGGGTTGACGACAGATTGCTGTTGAGACGTCTAGAATATGCAGATTGTGATTTTTAATTCATAAATTGGAAAATATCTTTATATGTCAATGCAGCTTTATCCCGAAGGTTTTCCTTGCCATTTGATGGTAAACTATTTGTTGAAAACTTCCTCAAAATTTCATTTTCGCCAGCCTAATGAACTAGAGTCTTAAAATTTTAGCAATTATATAATATATAATGCTCCGTGATTTGACAAAACCTTTCATTCCACAAATCCTCTGGTAAGTTTGTGTTTGGCCTAGAGATGCATATTTCTTTTCCCATAAGTTCAAAATTTGTCCTGGCTGAACACAAACAAGAAACATGAGCAAAGAAACACTATCCCTTCTTGCATTGTCCCCTCAAGGTATATGAATGCAACTCTTCTTCCAAGCTACCAGAGGAATTTTCAGATGCACTTATTCTTTCTTCCAATGCAACCTCATCCAATCACAACAATGCTTGAAGAGGAACATGAGACACTATGACAACAAGACACTCCATCAGATTTGCAGACGAGAATTCTAAAATTCACTGTGAATAAGAGACCGTTTTCCCACAGGATAAGAGGAGTTTTTCTGTAAGAGTTATATCCAAACAAGTCTTTTTTTCAGTTTGATAGTTCATCTCCTTTACAGAGATGTTATGACAAGCTAGTCCCACCAAAGTGACTCAAAACTGTTGAGTTGTGGCAGATGTTTCAAAGGATCCAAGTAAAATACTTTACTTCAAGGTCTACATGGAGCAAACATACAGTTTGTCTTGGAGGCTGCTTAACCCAGAATTCAAACAAGGAAGACAAACCGGGACAAAAAAGGAGAAACTTTCTACTTTGAATGAGTGAACACTTTTTTAAATACGCTTGAAATGATGTGACTATCAACCAGTGGAAGGAACAAAACGGCAGGAGACATGGGGGGAGAGATATAGGAGAAAATTTCACTTTCAGTTCACTGCCCATGAGACTTAGTACACAGAGATACCTACAGCCCAGGATATGGTTACCTGAAACCTACTTCAAAAGCAATCAACTGACCTACCTACAAAAATACCTCTGATTGACCGTTGATGAGAAAGGACATGATGGGATGATGGAATACTTTCAGGATTTGGTATTCTCTCAAGGGTTAAAGAAAGCCTGAAATTTGAGCTACCGATTATAAAGATAAGAGCATGATGAGTAACCGTTGAAAATGTTTAATGAAAAAAAGAACTGACAAGTCAAACAGTTTGGAAAGATCGCCCTGCACTTTTGCTTTTAAATAGGAACTTTGGAAAGAGCAAAAACGTTCATTAACCCTTTTTGAAAACTTGTTTACCTGTTCACTCAGTACAATGTTCATTGGCTTTCCTTTTTTGGTGCTTCAAAAAAGAATGGGCTTAAAAGTTTACAGCCAAAGAGTATAAGGGAGATCTATGTACATGGGTAGAGAGGTCTTGAAATACTCAAAATGCCACATCTAATCTTTGTAACTTATTTACTCCTCTCTAGCACAGACAGAAGCTATCTGATGTTAAATATGAAACTCCCCACCCCCCTCCGAGACTGTGAGTGCTGTGCATACGCTGTACCCTGACAAAATATAATGGATGAAGCCAGGTCAGCTCCATGCATCCATCTGCAGACTTGTTCTGTAGGTACGTGTACCTATTTATACTCTGGGTTGGACTTCAAGAAGCTAACCACTTTAAACCAGTGTGCCAATAAAACCTTCTAGTATCTTTACCTGCTTGACAAGGAAGTAACAAAGACCTCTCGACCCTTCCTCACATGAACAAAAGCCTCGCTGATAAACATAAGCCTACATAAAGTGTTACAGTGCAGCATCATTCCTCAGAAGCGAGAGTGCAAACCAAATCACTCAGGCAAAGAAACTGTAAATATATCCACCGGATGGAACAAAAACCTTACTTTTTTTGGCTTAACACCCCTCTGAAATTTCCCCCGAGACAGTGGCACTCAAATCCATTCCTTTCACAAGCATCTGATATTTTTTGTCCTCCAACTGACTTCAAACCCACTGTTTCTCAAAGCTTCCTATTGGTTGAGTGTCCTACCCACAACAGCCAAGGGAAAAATACAATTTCCCTGAGGAGCAAAAACCTGACACAAACAGAGTAGGAATTTCTTTTTAATACACCGTTTGGTCTTGTGAGATAATGACATCTACTGAAAAGATGACAAAGGTTTCTATACATGTAGGCAGTACTTTGTATACAGTTCAATGAGATGAAAGACCAGGTCCTATGATGGGCATAAGATATCACTCCTAAAAAGGTATTATATCTGACAACTGATTTTTTTTTTTTGAAGGAGGGGTTTGCAATGAGTTCAAAGTTGGGGGAGCCCACCTTGTTTCTGCTATCTTCTAAATAAAAATGACGTTGTCATTTCCAGAGTGATGCTAACTGTCTGTTTGCTGTAGCCAAGCAATGGATTAAATTATTCCCCACAGCAAAATTCCTACAAAGGCCAAAGTAACAGAATTCTTACATGTGCTGATTTTTCCTCACTAATTTATTTATTATTCACTTTATGACTTGCGAATATGACTTGTGGGAAATCCCTGTAAGGTGATATTCAGATGAAAACACACTTGCTTCTGATTTGGTTCATTTCCGGGGGAATTTGAGACAGGTTCAATGGAAAAGACTGCTTCTTAACAAGTTTTAAAATGCAAGCTCTTGGGAAAAACACCCGCAATCTTTTTCTTCTCCCTGCAAGCACTTAATAACTTGAAGCAATCTTTTTTTTTTTTTAGTTTTTCTGCACTGTAAGATGTATTTGTATACTTTTTTAACATTACTATAAAATGGGCTAGTACTTAGGATTGGGCATCATTTTTATGATTCAGTAATGGTTTGGATGGGACTCTGACTGGGTTAATTTAGGTTTTAACAGAAGGCTGGGTTATAAGGTCAACTGGCTGATCTGAGTTAGACTGAAAAAAGTTGAGTTAAGGGTGGGGCTGGGCTTGGTTAACTGAGTTTGAGTTGAACTAGGTTGGACTGAGTTTGAGTTGAACTAGATTGGACTGAGTTGGAGTTGAACTAGGTTGGACCAAGTTGGGTTGAGTTGGTCTGGTCAGAATTGGGCTGATCTTTGACTCTTGATTGGGTTGGGTTGAGTTGAGTTCGGCAGCACTGGGTTAATCTAGGCTAAGCTGAGCTGGTTTTGGCTGGGACTGAGCTGTATCGATACATATCAATTTAGTAATTTAGAATAAAGGCTTACCTATCTGGGGGTTGGTGACACTTGGTAGAGTGGGAGCCATCTTGTTTAGGTCAGCTGACATTCTCTGCAACTCAGCAAGTTGATGATATGTCTCCAGTTGGACTGGGCCATCGCCAAAGTGATGATCTGCCCATGGTTGTATGTAAACCTACAGAACGAACAAACATATTAAAACATAAATTCACCTCTGCACTAATGATACCACACTTTGTTTTTGTGTGTGCCTTCCCATCGTGCTTAGCGGACCGTGGGCCCCAACTGGCTCCATAGGAAAGTACACATGTGAACAAAGATTGACGTCATTAACACATAAGCCTGTTATGATGTAGCAAGTGTTGATACTAAAGATGACTGACCATAATTTGAAGTGGCCATGAGAGATTTTTCATCCAATTACCATGTCTGGCTGGTTGATGTGTGTCACTGATACAGCCAATTGAGATCCTTTGGCTGGCAACCTCATTGGCTTGTACTCCACCTCCAATCCTGCTATAGCCACACCCATTTCAGGGGATACTACTCTACCATTGGGTGTCAACGTGGCAACATCTCTAGACGCTTCCACTTCAGAAAAGGGGCAGCTTTTCTCACTCCCATCATCATTGTCTTCATTTTCAGCTAATCCCTCTGCTACAAGAACCATGTTGATACTTTGTCCAGTTGGTAACAGCAGATCCACTTTCAAGGGTTCTCCTTTTTTGCAAAGGGACTGTAACCAGATAAATATTCAGAATAAAATCTTATTCATGAATATGTAAAACAGTTTAGCCATCCCTATTGGTCTAGAGACTGTCAGGTGGCTTGTCTTAAATGGATGATATGGCACAGCTGACTGTGCTTCATTTCATGCAGTTTGTGCTACACATACACAAGTCTACATATAAGGATATTGTTTATGACTACTCATGAGAGAAACAAACCATTGCTAAAAGGGGATTAGAAAAACAAAGAAGTACATGTAGAGTTCTCGAACAAAATCATTTGAAACTCATAATTTTTCAACCTATGACTTTGACTTTGTGACTCAAAAAGTATTTATGAAGGGGTTCAGCTCAAAAATTATCAGCATTTTGCTGATCCGGTCTTGAATGGCGTCTAAGACTGACAAAGTACAATACAGAATTGACTGCGCTTAAATGTAGAAACCTTACAAGTCTGGCAAATATTATCATCCATTTTTACAAATTAGGTCGTTCTTAAGTCAACCACTACTCAAGGTCGACAGTAATGACAGGTTTCACTTTTCCCTGAATGAGTGAAAACAACTGACTTGCTGACAACAGCTCCCTTATAGATGTGTACAAAGTAGCTTTAATGGACCATATTACAATGAATGAAGAAACCTGGCCTGCCACATTTTAATGGATCCATTAGTCAATGTATTTACTCTATTTTTATCAACATATTTCCACAAAGGTTCATTCCTTCAAGGGCAGACAAACAAGATCATCAATGTTTGGGAGAACTGTCCAGGAAGAGCAAGCTAATATACATGTATTTCTTGATGAACAGAAAAAGTTGTGTTTCATTATCCCCACACAAATCTGTTTAAAAGCATGACCTTAGTCATTTAATTCTGTACATTTAAGAACAAATATCATTTGATCAAACTGTTCATTTATTTAATGTTATTACAGGTTGTTAACCAGCAGGACCCAATAAGTTTATACAGAAGTGTTCTGTTATCCCTGAGGAAATTGTTAATTGTTTACTTGGATGAAATCACACAAGTAATACGTGTAGATAAATACTACTCTTCCAAAATCCATTCTTACCTTAATCAATGCTGTGCATGACTGTTCCACAAGGGTCTCTAACAGAAACTGGATTGTTGTGACAGGCCATGAAGAGCTTGGAGGTTTCTGCAAAAGTTGTCCCCCCCCAAATTTAGGTAGTAGTCAACACACATAATATACTTAGAATGGCACCATAGAATTACCTGTATAAAATATTGTAGTAAGCAGGTGTTTTCCATCTCTTGAATGGCCACAGACCAAAAAGGAATACAAAACATTTACCGTAATTTTCAGAATATAAGCCCCCCCCGTGTATAAGCCACAGCATGCAAAAATCGGCAAATTAAGATTTAAAGTCAGCACCGGTGTACATGTATAAGCCACACCACAGCGCTGATGATCCAACCATGAAGGTCATCATGGTGTTTGCTAAAGCACCAATAGTGCATGTACATAGCATCAATGATTCCACTACAAGTGCAATCCTAATAAATCTAAGCAGAGTGCGAACGACTGCTTCCATTAACATGAATACTTAATTCTCGAAAATAAATAGTTTTTTCATGCTGGTTGATTTTCCTGAGTGGGCCATACAGAAGCTCTTGCACTTTTTTCAAAGCAGCCAGCAAAAGTTATACGGTCGGGGACGTACATGTACATGAATATCTTGATTTATAACTCAAAGTCAGGTAAGTTGAAAGACCGTTTTATTTCTTACGCCGACTTATTTCTCGCCAAAAGAATATGCTAAATTGATTTTGGATTTTGCCCTATCCGACGTGTAAGAAAGGAATATACTGTTAAGGGTTAGGGAATATGCTGTTAAGTACAAACATACCTCCATAACTCAAAATGTCCACAACACTATGAATCGATATGCGATGATTTTCTTTAAACAAATGCCTTGAAACCCGCCCTCCCCAGTAAAAGACAAAAAATAACAGCAGTTTTGAACTGTGGGTTTAATTTCAGTAAATTAATAAACATGAATCATTTGTCAAATTGTGACAATCATTTTGTTAATTCCATTTAAAAATTTTTAAATACCGGGTACAGCAGAACTGCCTGGATTTTGAGCCACCAGAATCAGTTAAAAAATGGACGAAAGCACAGACAGTAGCAAAGCGAATTGAGAGGAACGTTGCTTCCGGACATGTTGTTTGAAATCTCACGTCTTGTTGGTGACCAAAAAAATGGAATTAGAGCTTGAATCCCTCCTCTCCCTATGGAAATTTTACAAAACGTCTCATGTTGTATCCTGAGGACGGCCTGGGAGATTTATGGTTGGATTAAAATGCAGAGTGTACAGCTCATCACTCCCTACAGGTAAATGTAAGACTATACAGCATACTACAGCTACTAGCCTAATCCTGAATGCATCAACACCCGTCACCATGGGGATCCAGATTTGTGCTTGGAAAAATGAAATCAAATTAAAAAATTCTCAAAAAATTACACTGGTATGGTACATGTACATGTATGTATGTGGAAATCTTTAGGAAAAGGGAGATTAATTTCAGGAAATTACCAAGGCAAGATTAACACAATGTAAGGAACCAGAAGAGATTTGAATAGAAAGAGGAGCATGATCGCAAGGAGGTCTCAAGATTGGTCTGTTGTCTATGAAATGTCTTCTCAACAAACTGTCTTCATAACATTTCACTAAAAGTAATGGCCAAACTTGATTTAAAAAGAGTTTGTGTCTGCATTAAATTGGGGACCCTGAACAATAGAGGACAATAAGGTCCCCGACTGACAGAGGGTCCCCGATTGACAANGCAAATACACACTTGAGTGTGTGTATTGTTAAACTATATTTTCTCCACTGCAAAAGCCTTTTGCTAAAACTACTGCAACAGAATCAGACTTAATGGACTAAGATCCTCTAGGGACCCTCTGGGGACCAGCACTATGGAGATGAAGCCTTTCAAAATGGATCTCAAGATGTAGCATTAGTCAATACCAACATTTCAAAGACAGCAAGTCAATGCATTAAAATCCACACAAGAAGACTCATTGTAATTGTAATTGAATCTGATAAGAGTGTGTGAGTCATGTGCAGGTACTGCATGCACCAAATTTCAGGTTGAATAAAAATATCAAAGAAGTGCCATCTAAATATATCAAGAAAAAAGGTACCAGTTTACAAGTCTTGCTGTCTCAAAACAATTGTTTTCTTGAAAAATGGTAGATGTATGATTTGGTCCCTGACAAGAAGCAGAGAATATGTATCTATAAGCTTAAACTTTAGAGAGATCCCAGTTAGGTCAGAATAGCAGCCTGTCAGTCAGGGGTAGAAAGAGTTCAACCTTCAAGAATCTTGCCAAAATTTAGTTCTAATTTGAGACTTACCGGTCGAAGACCAATTAGAATACAATCTCTGCTCTGTTGAGGCATGTCCAACTTAAATGGTTTCAGATGGATGCTTGGGAAAGGGACAGTCTCTGAATTACCAAAATCTACATAGTGCACCTATCCAGAAGAAAAGAAGATGTTTTTTCAATAGAATCACTCTTGAAAAAAAGGAAGAGAAACCAAACTACGAAAAAACCTTCATAAAAATGATGCGTTACATGTAAATGGGCCATTCTATAAATTTGGGGTCCAATTTTTTTTCCTTTCCCTGTTATATATGGCATATGATTTTTTTATGTTTAGAACTCACTGCTTAATTTCCAAGACTGAATAAGTACTGCAAATTACCTGCCAAGCAAATAACAAACGTTTGAAATCAATGTCAGTGATACATCGCTTGTCAAACTTGTCAGATGGTATACATGTCAAAGGTAACATGGACAGAAAAATGTCACACTTTGGACCCCAAATTTATAGAATGACCCAGTACATGTATTTCTCTATCAAGAATAGGGTGATATTTTTCTCACATGCATTCCAGCCTTTAAAACTACATGTAAAACTCACTCTGTCAGTAGAACACTTCTTGCAATAAAAGAAGGCCATCATCAAAAGACCACGCAATTTATTCCACCACAAGCAATATTGGAAATTTAATACAACCATTTATATTCATTGTAGGAAAATAGGTTTTTTTTAAGATGCAACTACACGTAAATATTTTTATCAAAATCCCCCTTACGAGATTGTTTAAAAATGATCACAGAATTTAACACTGGTGACAAAGGGCATTGACAAGGGTTAAAGACGAAAGCATTAAAGTAAAAAAACAAATGCTATGAAATGACTGCATACTGGATTTAACAAGCAGGTGCTCCTACACTGCAAGTTATTAGTTCCATGATCAAATCATCCATCGTTTACAACTCATATCATCCTGATGCCCTACATTACCTATCAACCATCCACCAATGGTGTCAGCTGGCTTCAATTTTTTTTCCAGACAGTTAGTAGGATTTTTCATTTGAAAGCTCATCCAGAAGTCCTCCAGTAAGGCTTATCTATGATCTGGTTTACTGAGGAATCAATCAGATGTAATTTCAATTACTGGTGCACTGACAGAGCTATCCTAAGCCAACATCAGTCAGAGTTTATGGTCTTATGATATGGCATGCTTTATTCCACTGTTTTTCCTAAAGGCTTTAGAATTCCCCTCCTGTGTAAACTTTATGAACCCCAACAATCCCCCCAACAGGTGGAAGATTAACAACGGTAAGGGTTTATGCTGAGCAAAGATAAAGATTCAGAAAAGTTGAGGGCATTTTAAGCAAAATGAGGCTTCTACTGGAAAATACAATCAAAGGAACTAATGAAGCAATTCCTAGGGCATGAGGAAAACTACAGTCCACAACATCAAGACAAAAAACCCACAATATACATGTACATGTCAAACTACCAGCATCAGTCATTCCCATCACTGTAACAGCTACACCTTCTTGCAGAAAAGTATAGAATTCATTCAGTAGCCCTTTCATTAAAATTTTCTCTCAATACGTAGCCATTGTGGAGCAGGTGCATGTAATTTGATCGTGACAAGCTAAAGAATAAGGTACATGTACGTTGAAATGACAGCAAAGGACAAAATCATTACTCTGTACACCACACCACATTTTAGTTGATTTCAAGTTTTTGCTAATGCTGCATTTTATAGGTTAAGGAAGCACATGTTTGTAATAACTTCGTCAGATGGTTAACATCAATGATTTGTAAGATTTCTTCACAGGAAAATAGAAATCGTGGCTAGTTCAGGATATTTCATCCCAATGAAAGTGTCTGACAAATTGAGGTCAGTTCCATGGGAATTCACTCAATCAAGTACAGCCTCTTTGGCCACAAATAAAATTGTCCAGCAACTCAAAAACCAGGTCAAAACCTCAAATAGGGAAATGGAAAAATCCAATCTAATCTATGGAACATTCTCTCTTGCCCTGTAATTCCATTGGGAATTTTTTATTTAGTTCTAGAAGTGAGGGGAGAAGGGCATTGTTATGAGATGAGAGAAAAGACCCAGTACAAAGACCTCCAAGTAACACCCAGGGATTATGTGAAGTAACTTGGGAGATAAAACCTGATGACACTACAATGACTCCCTTGGGGAGATTCAAACCAGTTGAAGAAAGAAATAAGATCCCTGCATCTAAGGTACATGTATGTTGGAGGTTTGTGTGCACTCTCACACTGTCCCCTAACTGAACCTCCCCCATACATTTTAATATAATCAAAGTCTCTCCTTTTATACAATTCAAGTAGATTATGAATTTATTTCATCTTGAGAAATTTTGAGACATTTTACCATGAATAATTCGATGCAAATAGGATTGTAATGAGGTTGATAGAAAAGCGGCTTTAAAATCTGAGGCAATGATAAATCGCTTTTGTAGTAAGAGCATAACAAGACTGTCATTAAAATGCATGATTTGTCTTATCACCATCCGGCACAAACCACCCACACTGAGGTAATTATTAACGAGTTTCAAGGGAATTAAATTTGTTTTCAAAGATCCTGAATCTTTGAAAGTCACACGATGGATTCTGATACCATTTCTACATGCAATTGATGCAGTAATGAGACAAAGGAAACAATTCAAATAAGAGTTCAATTTAGAAGGGACAGTGATGGTGAGATTTGCTGCGAGGAGATAAAATGGGGAAAGCGCTAGAAACAAACAAGATTTGTATCGGATCAAAAGGACACAAGAATATTGCTGATCCACAATGTCGATGCATTTCTGACTCTTTCTTTAATCTTGATACACTGTATATTATTAAGTTATTTCTTGGATCTGAATGAACAGAGTACTGAGTAATATCTTGTCCTACAAACCTGGCTTTAAACTTAGTGCCTTTGGTTTTTAAGTATGGTTTCTACTTTAAGAATTCATTTTCTAGTTCACATAATGTGTCATTTGATGCAAATTTGAAAGGCGTAATTTAGAGTGCATCCATATCTTTCCTGCCCCTCTGGTGAAATTTAAGATGTGCCGAACGCCAAAGACTTTCAGATTGTAATAGGATAATTGTACTGCAACCACTCAACTCAACTCACTTAGCCATTTGGAATTCAGATGAAGAGAAATGATGTAGGAAGTCAGAATAAATCTGAATTTTCCTGAAAAAATACACTGCAAAGCTTCTTGGATTTCAGATTCTTAATCTTCAGATTTTTCCATATTTTTATTTTCATATCGCCTTGTTTCTCTGGTTTTAAATTGAATAAAAAAAAATGATAACTTTCTCCCTCAAGAAGCCACAACAAACATAAGAGATTTACACCAAAACCAGTTAAATTCATGAAGATTTTTCTTCTTGAACATCTTACGAGAGTGGACACAGGCTGACACTGAAACTATAACTCACCTCTGCAGCGTCTGCATGCACCCTTGTGATTCTTGCTCTATACCAAAGACCATCCTCTTGGAATTGTGCACATACTGCTTGTCCTTCTCGCAGATCTTTAGACATCGGCACCGGCTGAGATATGGAATTGGCTGCTTGTAGTCTCTCCATAACATCCCGGAATGTATCAACTGAAACAATAAAAAGACTTCCACAGTCAAACCAGTAAGGGCTTTTAGCAGATACATTCAAATGTGGATCCAAAGATGCTAAGGAGTTAAAGAGGTTGTGTCCATGTCTACAAAAAGTTGCAAGCTTTGTTTCTCTACCAGCCAGGAACAAATGGTGCCTGCCAAGACAGAGTTTTAAGAATGTAGGCTAACTGCATTCAGAAGTGCCAAAAATGGTTGCCTTTCATTCACAATGTATTAAGGGTTTAGTAAGACTGGAGCTATGGGCCCTGGGCGGGGCCAAGGAGGGCGCTATTTTCCTAGTAATGGAAGCTCCTTGACAGGAACTGCACTTTGCTGGTTCACTAAGGACTATGAAATGCATGCGGTGTGCTCACGTCCCTACCAACTAATGAACACTCTCCACCAACATGATTCTCTTCAATCACTGAGGGAGTGCTTCTTCTCGAGGGAGATACATCATACATCATATTTTACAAAATGATGAGGAAATTCTGGTCTAAGACATTGAATATTTTATGCTTTGAAACGATCACCAAGTTCAAGAAAACCAGGAGTTCTAAAAGTTCCATGTCATGCAAGGCTGGTTTACAAGGACAATATTCTGTCAGTCAGTTTTGCTAATTATTAGTTACCAGCAGCATGACTCTTAGTTCAGAATCAAGCACGTTCAAGCACAGATTACCTTGAATACATGGTACCATAATATAAGTAATTTTGACTGGTCTGTCACAGAACTTGACTCAAGTCAACCAAGCCAGCCGTAACTTTTCAGTAGAAGCTCACCTTCGCTGGCTTCCAATCCCGAGATAATTCCATCAGTGCTGACGTATGTGATCACCAGATCAAGTCTCCCACTTGTTGGTAATGGTGGCAACAGATATCGAGGAAAGTCCCCTTCTTCTTCAGCTGATTCAAACTGTGAAACAGTCAATTGAGGGCTGACTCCTGGAGATGAACCAGCTGAAGCATGCTGGGAAGGTTTATCCTGGGACTTGGAGGTGGGACCACCCACTGAGGAGTCAGATGGTTTATGGGGTGAGGAACTCTTTGTAGGCAGCTGTTGATCTGAGGGTGGTGATGTGGAGGACCTTGCAGGAACACGCCTACTGAAAAGAAAAACCACACAGAACTCAAATTAATGCTCGAAGTTTCTGCTGTTCCTATATGTAAGTTCCAGACAATGAGATGCTCCATAAACCTATAAAGGTAATAAGTTGGTTTGAACTCAAGTTTCTATCCAATCAGTAAGAATGCAAAATGACATTTCGATTAAGACCACTAACTAGGTAGCAACAAAAAATTACAATATTTTCTATTTTGCACTGATGGCTGATGAATGATGAAGAATTCAGACGATATACAACCTGCAAGTTAACTATAAGGGGCACTCTCAACTCATACCTGACTGGCAAAGCTAGTCCTTTAAGAAGTAGCAACTTGGAAATGCTACCAAAATCCTCCGTTGTCTGTTGTTCAAGTTTCTCTTCAATGGAACGTTCATAGAGAAGGTCTATGGGAAGAGAGCCATTCTGCAGGTCACCCTGGAAAAGGAAATGGAACCACATGGAAACATATGAGTCGGGACACCAGTTTGTACTTGTGTTGGTATCAATGAGGTCAGGCCACTAGTCTCAAACCACTGCATGTCTACACACCTATGTCAGGTCACCAGCTTTTACTCGTCTTTATATCACTGACCCTATACTCATATCAATGAATGCCAAGGCACCAGTCTACTAACCTTCTTGACTATGACACATTCTAAGTCTGACAACGTGGCCGCAAGGAATTCACAAGCTGTCCTGGTCCATTTCTGTTTATCCCCTCCTGGTATGACATCAGCAAGGTGACACTGGATTGCAAATGGCGGATCATCCTGAAACTTAGCCAACAGGGGGCGTATGTTGCTGAATGACACAACCTCTGTGTTGCCGTAGTCAGTGAAAAGAATCTAGGACAATACAACAATAATTGCAAAAGTATTAAAACAAATTACATGAGGGAAAAGTTGCACTGATCGTAAAAGTTTGGTAACAAACATGCCAAAATCAATTTTACATTCATAAGTACCTTCAAGAGGTCTTAGCAATTAAAAGTAAAAATCTATCTTTTGGGAACAAATCAATCAGTTATCCTAGCTGGAAAAAGTTGATTGAGAAAAGCCAGAAAAATTTCCGACAGTCATTACAAGCAGCAAACACAGGCAAGATTTATTAGGTTCATCACACACACGACATGGATCTATCCACGTTTTATTCGACACAGGTTCCTTGCGCCTAGCTATTACACCCAGACAAGTACATCAAATAATCTGTCATAGATACTGGTCATTACAAGCAAACAACTCTCTCTGTTGAACACCGCTAAGTCAATATTTAACTTCAACATCTAATACCCTATAGAGACACAATTTATCAGATGGTATCTCCTACATCTTGTAGAAAAGCTCGCAGCAAACTTTAGATCCACCCCTTGGTTCATTGAGTCTTGGCTCATTATTCATTTACAGCACATCTCTACCACAGAGGTAAGAGTGCTGATCAGTAGAGCTATCTGTGTCCAGATAAATCCTGCTTCATTGACTTTGGCATGACCAGGAGTGTCTAACTTTTGTTTTAAACTAGACAAAGGAGCAAGCATGGTACAAGCAACCAAGGCAGTCAAGGAACTTTGAAGCAACAATTAAGAACCTGAAGGCGTTCTCTTCAGACAGAAGTTAGATTTCAACTGAAGACAATGATATGATCCCAACTGCTTGCACCTCTCCTATCCTCTCAGAACAACAAAACTTTCAAAATATTATTGCACTCAGAACAGTATAAAATATTATCAGTATTGACAGCACTTTGTTAATTTATCAAAACTCGGAATCCTGACTCAAATCAATAAATTCACTTGATATGGTCAGCTGGCAAAAGAGGATTTGGAGATGGTACATCGCTTCTAAATGCATCCAGCATATAATCTATAAACACGGTGGCAGAAACATGAAAGACATGCACAGCAGTAAGTCATCGCTTTATTTTCTCAAAAAGCTTGTCTTTCATATACGAATCTCAAACAAAGCAGTTGCCGTTGGATCAATTTTTCCCACACATCCGGCCAATTTCTACAAGCACAAAAGCACCACCGCGCGACTGTTTGAGGCCTACTGCCATGCTCTTTAGCTAAAAGTCGTCATCAATTGCGCGGGTGAAAGTAATATGGTGGAATGCGCTTGATTACCAGTATCACGTTCTCTGCGCTTTTGCATCTACCACAAAGCGGCAGCACTGGTCAATTGTTGCAACATGGGTACCCTAACAAACTTGATACACTGGTATTTGACAGCCATTGACGACACACTGGATAAACTTAACATTGACCCTATCTAGAATCACACCAAGATATCTAAAACATTTCTTTACAACATTAACCCAAGCCTGCTTCACAAACAACCATACAGTCTTATGTTGCATGATCAGGATACCAATATAGTACTTAATTTGGGCAGGAGCTCTTTCAGACTTCTCAATGGAAACCGTGCTGAAATGTGAAACTACCTCCTTTGTAATAAAGTAACTCTTTAATATTTCTCTCTTTTGTGATGAGTGCTTGAAGCAGCAACATGACAAGGAAATAGTTCCGCATTGTCATAATCAAGTAATACTCAGCATCAATAATTATCACTTCTAAATCATAAAACTTCTTGGACTTTTTGTTCAATCACCACATTTTCCTTCTTTCATATCACAACACTCTTCATCTGTCCCTAGTAACCCTATGCTATGATTTCTCCCTTAGGCCGGTCACAAAATCAGTGATTGATCCTTCTTATTTTCTCAGACTCATTCAATCACTGCTGGGTGGAAAGAATATCATTCAAAAACTCTTTAAATGTACATATCAATTACAGTAGACGTATACCATTACCCACTTACATTGATTTTGGTCTGAAAATTTCATCGAAAAAGTTGAAACATAAAGAGTACACATGTTCAATCATTCTTATTTTCTCAGACTCATTCAATCATTGCTGGGTGGATAAAGTGTTCTTCAGAAACTCTTTCAATGAGCCCGCTTAAATTTATTTTGGACTGAAAATGTCCCCCAAATAGTTAGAGTCTGAGGAGTACACATGTTCCTAGACCCTTCACTTTCCTTGACCATTATATAATGGTAATTTTACCCATAACCGGCCCTATTACATAACACCGAGGTGTTAAAAACCAGAAGGAATTGCAGCAAGAACCCAACCCAGATGCTTTTCACGCCAAACAGATCAGAAACTAAACACCTAATATTATGCTCTCCTTTTAACTTCAGGGCCTAGTTAACTGAAATCCCTAGAGGGCTCACTATCTTTGCAAACGCTGCCAACAGATGAATTGCTGCAAGTTCTCTACCCTTTCACACCTTGCTAATTTCAAGCCAGTAAGGGCTTTCTTTCACCTAATATCAACTGATTCACATTTTGGGAAATGGGTATTGTTCAATTAGTTATTTAGAGTCCAGAAGATCAAGCTAGCCTCACACTACACTGAAATGAATACTGATATCTAGACTGTAAGTATTGTCATTGATATAATGAACTGACACCTGTCATAACTCACTCGGAGGTTCATGCGTGAGTGACAATTTAAGTTCAGGTACTGCTAAAATATACATGTATTTAGACATAGAATGAGATTAATTTGGGCACAGAATAAGACATCAATCAGATCATCATTTCCTCAATGACCCCCAACCTCATCCAATGACCTCCAACCTCATCCAATGACCTCCAACATGAGTGGTTCATGAAAAATAGTTCCAAACGATGTGTAAAGGCAGTGTATCGCACTTTCAGAATCTCTACAGGTTAAACTGAATAAAGTACATAAAAGCGGTCATTGTTTTGAAAGCTTTCCTACATTAGTAACTCCTGACAAGCAATCACCTGATTATCCCAATCACCTGATTATCCCAATCACCTGATCCCATACTCACAATGGCATTTTCATCCGGTAGCACTGTCTTGATACGTCCTCTACACCACACTCCTTCTCTGATAAGCAATGCACTACACGAATCTCCTTCTTGCCAAACAATGTCTTCCGTTGATTCCAACTGCTTGTAGGTCAGCGTCATGGTTTCCAGTAAGCTATGAGATGGTAAATTGCAATAGCGCATCTCTACTTTCTCCTCCATCATGGACTGACACGGTTATGACAAAGAGTGCAATGCTACAAATGGCATGTTTGCCAGCGTGTTTGTTCATGAATACCATGTGCACTCCCTTGACAGCTCTTCCCCATAATCTAGACACTGTCAACTATGGACACTGTAATAAACTCCCTTTGTCCATCCTCCATCCCTGCCCACACCTGTTCTTATGCCCCTGCTCAAGCCTTCAGGTACTACACTCGAACCTCGTTAATAAGAGGTATTTCGGACTTGGCAAATTACCTTGTCATAACAGGAACCTTGCATTACCAGGAATGAAAACAATAAAAAACAAAAGAGTGGGACCTAAACATTTCCTTGTTATAAGCAGAATCTTGTATTAAAAGTGCTCTTATTACTGAGGTTCGACTGCATACAGCTTTGAACAACCCTTTCTGGCCGCGTTTCCTGTACTGTTCCCTTAATTACACCCCTTCCCTTACCCTACCTGCACCCCACCTGCACCCCTTGCTGCACTCTGCACCTAACCCATACGTACCCCTTATTTTTATTACTTCCACATCAACACTTTCTTCCCATCCCTCACACCTACCTGTCTAATCCATCTTTCCTAGCTGTTGAAAGTTGAATGTAGATACAAGCTGGTGACTCCACATGACTAATGTGAACTGATGTGTACTGTGAGCTTGGAGCTTGTGAGCTAAGCTTGGAGGATGGCTGTGACTTGGACGGAGAGGTGATAGTGTAGGGTCTAGCAGCTCCATTAGTCTTAGGAATGCTAGCTTGAGTGTCAGTACCAGAATCTGTTGATGGTGTTCCTTCATTTTTCAATGTGTCGTCGTCAGAGAAGTCACTGTGAGGAATGTCAAAGATGATAGCTGCGCTGACAGATCTAAAGAGAAGATCAAAGTTGGTTATAGATACAGAACATGTTTACAGACAGAGAAAAAAATGCTTAGTTCCAAGACTGGGTACATGCACTAGGCCAACTAATTTACTGATCAAACAGCTAGCTACAAACCAACATAATAGGCATCCACACGTAACAAGGACCAGATAAGCAAGTAAACGTTTCTGCCAAACAGCGATTAAATCCAATCAACCAGTTTGCATCAGCATCAACTCGGAATGGACTGTTGGCTGGCTGGACGTCAGCCAGTGTATTCAACTGACCATTCTGCACATACAAACACTAAACTCTGCCAAAACAGAGAAGACAAACAGACAAATGATTAAAACTCAACCACAGATGAATTAGTCAGCATCCCTACCCAGGTCCAGTGCTTTGAGCAAATCCTTTCTGAACCAGCAATGCATTAATGTTGATCTCCCTATCTTGCCTGTCTTCAACTAAAATGATTGACAGCCTCCTTTTTTGGATACCTGAAGAATCAAAAAACAAAACTGATGATAAAAACCAACCACCTCCAAATGAATCCGTTGGCTTGTAATCGCTGTGCAATTAAGGTTCAATCACTGGAACAGCAATGTTTGCAAGTCATTAACAATAGCTGCCCTTAAGACCTGATATGGGCTGAAGTTTCTTCAAATGATCTCTTACAGTGTTGCTCTATTCATACCTTTGACAGTTGCTCTCAGGGCTTTGGTGAGAACGATGGTACCAAATCCATCGTTTTCTTCTGCTGTCCATCCTTTCTCAGGGTCCTTGGGACCAATGTCAGCCAGAGAACAAGGCAGGGCCTAGACCCAAGCAGTTAAAAACTTTAAAATTAGGGTTAAACTTCTCAATCAACAATACAACAAGCAGGTTCCCACTGATGTTGCTGATTGGTAATTTAAGTTCTATTTTTACTGCAATCCTGTTTTTGTGGTTCAGATTTGTTGAAATATTGAAACATATGATGAAAGCTGAAGAAAGAGTAAGAAATAAATGCTGAAACATCCTCTAAGTCTGACAGAAAGACCAACAAACAAACCCTACCTGCATACACAGTTTGAGGAACTTCTTAGATATCTTCCGTAATTTGGAGCAATGAACTCTTTCATAATTGCCATAGTCGACATACAATACATCCACTTGCTGACTACCAGGCAGATCTATGTAATCAACAACAGAGTGCTATGGTCTAGTTCACAAAAATCTACAACCATTTTGCAAGCAAATTAAATGTATTACTCCAACGTAATTACAAATCACTGGGTTAAGAAAGATTCCAAGAAACAATTCTTGTCTTTTGGCTCCTTTTCCAATCTGGGAGTAACTCACCAACAATCTGGGAGTAACTCACCAACAATCTGGGAGTAACTCACCAACAATCTGGGAGTAACTCACCAACAATCTCAGCTCTAGACCATTGATTATCCTCAGAGAAGTGAGCCACACAGATGGTTCCTTTCTTCGGGCACAAAATGTTCCATCTATCATCCAGAGGCCTGTTGTAGAATTCTTGAAGATCCTTCATCATCTTTAGCAGATATTCACAATCTTCTCCAATCTTGTGAGGGACATGCAAGAACAATGATGTACACAGTACAGATTACAGACTCATTTTGTTGACACTGATTAAGAATGCCCATCCTAGTACAGAGTCTTGATTTTTCAAATTCATATATTGAACATTAAGAGTCCTGAATCCAACTTTTGGCCAGTTCATACAGAGATCTGGAAGTGCCATCCGACTTATTCAGATCATGACATAGTTTTTTTGGGATGATGACATAAAAGGCGAGATGTCCACATCCTGAGATTATTCATCACAGGATGACGACATCCTAACAGTTGGAGGATGACATCCTAAGATAATCTTTATCTCCGGATGTCATCATCCAACAAATGTGATGTCTACTTCACTACTTGTAACATGTGGTGAGACATCATGACATTTTGTCAATCTAATCAATATCAGGCATGGCAACAGGAGGACAATTTTTTGAAAATCAGAAGCACCTCAGGCCACCTGTACGTTTTCAAGATGTTTTGTCACAAAACTCATTGACAAATAATGTCATTATTGACATTTACGATGTCTTCATCCTGTGATAAATTATCTCAGTATGTCGCCATTCAACTTTTGGCATGTCATTTCATGATAACTTATCTCACAGATGTCATCATCTCGTGAGAAATTATCTCAGGGTGCCGACATCTTGCCTATATGATGTCCTCATGCCAAGAAAAAACGTCAGGATCTCAGAAAGTCGGATGGCACTTCAAGAGCTCCTTAGGTTCACGACTGTTAGGGTAAACATCTAGTTCCATCTGTTTTCCTCACATCAGGATAACAAGCTGTAAACTGCCTTGACTGACCTCTTGTACACAGAAGCACTCAGGATCTTGGAAGTGGCTAACAGTGACTAAGATCTCCTCGCCTTGAACTGGAAGATCTGCTGCAATGAACTTCAGAGGAGGCCCTCTAGAGGGTGCAGCTATAAGGACAAAATATCAAATTGTTCATTGATTTACATTACAACTGACCATGTAAGGTATTCCTCAGTCACTGCAGATGCTGTACAAAGGAAACAGTGAAAATTTCAACCACTCACTCTATATTGTGAAAATATCAGTAAAATAACATGTTCCACCAAAGGAAACTATTCCGCAAAAAAAGATTTATGACAAGAAATCATCCCTCTTTGCAATTAATTAGCATGAAATGCATTCCACGGAGAAATTAACTTAACTGTCACATTTAAGTCTTACCTTCTGGAACAGACTCTGGTGATACAAAGCAGGCAAGTTCCAAGAAAACCAAAGCATCTCGGAGGGATATGGGCATGTCATCTTCAACCTCTAACAGAGGAGGTTTGTGAAGATCCACGTAGAGGGTTGCTCCTGAATGGCCAAGAATCTACCACAAATTATAAATGCAATGACAATACAGTCAGGGAAGTTATAAGAACAAGAGTTGACTACATAAAGGGATAATGTAGAAATCCACATCATACCTTGATTAAGTATGCCAGAGAGAATCTGTAAAGTTGTGTACAAATGTAAAGTTGAAGAAAGCAATTTTGACTGTAACAAAAATGAAAACAATCTTGATTTACTCACACTCATATAAACAGGCTTGTCCCCAACCATGTTGGCAAAGGAATGCACTGCTTCCAGTGACCAGCGACCAGACTAAAACCAACAAATGGGAAGAGTTTATTTTTAATCAAGTTAAACAACAAAGTTGTGTGTTCAAAATGTATGGCATTTTCTATGTATACACAACGTTGTCTAGGAGAAAAACATGTGGAGATAAGGAACCAAATTGTTTTTGAAAAGTTTTCAATTTTTAACTCAGGCACTGGCTACATATTACGACGATGAGCTGAGGAAATGATTTAGATCAGCTTGTGCCGTAATCTAAATTTATGGCAATAAAAACGTGAAGCTCATCCTCTTAAATGCAGAGTACGTCAACATTACTGCCGAGTTTTGTCTTACCTTACGGGTTGGTACTATGTCTGTCAATGAGCAACACACGGCCAAGTCAGGTATGCTATGGTGTTTAGATTTCAATCGGCACAAACTGTTAGAGAAAAACAAATCTTTACATTTCTTGAGCAAGGACAGCTTTTTATTAGAGTCAGAAAAATTATATATCCTTCATTTAAGTCGCCCAATCAAAACCTTGATATCTTTGAACTACAAGTTGAAAACGAAATATATACCTGGAGAGTGGAACCGTTTCGCTATTTCCATAATCCACGTATATCACTTCCACTTTGGATTTGTTGACCTTGACCTTTGGCTTAACATCCAGCTTGCCATCTGGTTTCACAGTAGGCTTAACCTCAAACACAATATCTTGACTGGTCTCTGACCCGACCTCCGAACCAACCTCTAGGTAATTCTCATTGGCCCCCTCAGTTCCTGTTGCTGTTTCTCCTTGGGTTTCTGTTGGCGTTTGTTTGGGGCTCTGAGGTGGTGTAGGAATGGGTGATATGACCTCTGGATCAGGGTAAGTGATTGACTTGATTCGAACCCGGTACCATGTCTTATCAGCTTCATATAAACAGCACAACATAGCACCTGGGTAGAAATTATCAGGTTTAATTATAAACAGAACAAAACGCCTGCTATACAAAGTGAGTGTATAAAGCACATAATGGGTGCCAACCAGTACAGTAGCATTTAACCTCCTTACCAGCACTCAGGTTGTCAGGCAACCTGTTAGATTCCTTGAAGGATTTGCAATCTTTGTTGATGCGAACCATCATGTTACTGAGTTGTGATTGGTCGGATTCCCGCTGAATATAGAAACAGCATGGGTTGCGAATATGGGTGACTCGAACTAACTCACGCCCTAGGACATCTAACAAGAAAGGGAACAAGTTCAGATTTCCATTGAGTCTGTGTAAAGAATTAAAAATGTCTCAACAAACTAGAAAACCTTTCGAAAAAAACGGACCTACACATTTTCAGTTCACACTTCCAATATTTACAATTTCCATGTGTGACCTCCGCAATAAAACATTTTCTGTGAAACCTATGAAAGACATATAGCTGCTGTCATTTTTTTTAAGCCATAAGGTGAGAGGGTTTCAAGTTAGATGAAATATAACTCAGAATAAGACAATTTACTTGATCCTCGGGGAGACAGATGACTCCGAACAAGTCTGCTTTCTTTCACTTTGCCTGTTGGGGTTGTTTCACCAACTTTTGTTGGTACAGCTGCATTCTGGCTTTTACCTTCATAAATATGATTAAAAGAAATGAATGAAAGGCACCAAATATTACTTTGCATGAACCAAGTCTAGTATGGAAAAAACAAATTTAATTTTGATTCTCTTGCAATTTGGGTTACAGCTGATTAGGCTGTTGAAGTGACAATAAATTATGACTTTGGTTCCCTTAATCCTCATCTAGTTCCATTTAATCACAGAAACTCTCCTTACCGCTTGGCGACAATGCTTTGTTTTGTTCTTTCTGCTTCTTGTAGTTGTGGATAGCTGAATTGTTTAAGATGTCATCATTGATCACAGGTGCTTCCCAGTCATCAGGAAGATCTGACTCTGTCTTTAGTTCTAATCTGTCAGAGTAAACACTCAAACTTGTTTGGCCACTCTTGACAAATGTTTTGCATGGTACCATTGCTCAAATTTTATCTCACACACAAGTGAAAAAAAGTATTACAATATGATCTTCAAGGGCTACTTTTTGATAAATACTTCCTGATTTTTTTTAAAGGAAGAAATAAATGCAACAAGATTGATTTTTTCTTACCTTGGCTCTGAGCAGATTTTGACTGCCCCAAATGTCATTAAGCTACTGACAGTGTCACTGCTGTAAGTGAAACAACTCAGCGGTTGTTGTTGTTCTGATTTGGGAATCACTATGTGATTAGGCAAAGCCTGTGATGACTGTAAGGTATGAACAAGCTTGGTAATGTTGGCAGGAATAACAGCGTCATCACCAAGGCCAATCAATGCATCTGACAGAAATTAAACAAAGTAAAAATTATGACCACTTCAAACCTCAGTTAGGTCTATCATGGGAAGTAAATCACCTAATGAACTTCTTAGAAATAAGTTTAAGTCAAATGCTCTGGAACACTGAACAAATTTTTACCTATGATAGCCGATTCCAAGATACTGATATTCCCTTCAATGTTAGTCAACATGGCACCTATATACTGGGTCTGCTGAGAGGCAACACCAACTATCTGCTCCACTAAGGCATGCTCTCTGAAACACAAATCATCATTTCACACGCACATAAAAAATGTTGAACATGCAAAAAAATTCTCTGAATGTGACTTAATGTACTATTAGAACCTGCAGTAAAAGCCTCGGGATGTTGTCAACTTGAAAGGAAAAATAAAAGAGTACAAAACCCTTATCTGGACCAAAGCAACTAAAACCTGGCCAACAGACATGTTGGTTCAGTCTACTTCAGAGATACTAGATCCAGGGTGTCCAAAAAGGAAAATTTCTACATCACAAAGTTTTCCATTTTGGGATTAAATGACTACAAAGTGAAAACTATGTTACATGTAGTTGATTCCAAGACAAGATGAATGCCAGTGTATCTCAGACTCTACCTGAGTTGTAAGACAGCATGGAGATGAGCAAATGAAGCCTTGACGCCATCAGCAACATCATTAAGCTCCTTGTGTATGTCTCGCTTTGTGTCTTTAGCCATCTGAATAATGAAAAACACAATTTCCTTTTATCTTTTCGTTTAGTAGAGCAATTACAACTTAACGATATGCAAGGCAAAGTATTAGCAGCATAAACACAGCTTTCCTGTTTGTTTCAAAAGCATATTTGCTATAGTTACCTGTCGAGCATAATACTGGTGCTTGAGTACTTCCTTGGCCATGTCACAGGCTGGCTTTAGTTCCTTCAAGGATTCCTTGTCCTGTCAGACAATAAATCAAAGACGAACTTCAACGTGCTACTTGGAGAACTTGCCCACTAATACTAACTTGCCCCTGACCAGCTTATCTCCAAGCCAACTCACCCCCTGACTGACTTGTTCCCTGATGGACTAGCCCCCTGACCGACTAGCCCCTGACCGACTCAGCCCTGGATACTTAACTCATTTAAAAACCTAACACAATCTGTCAGTGGTCATCAAGTTTCTGTATAGTGTGAGGTCCACGTCAGATGTTCTTAAGCTCATTCAATAACTTGTGGGACTGGATGCTTATAATAACTTTCCATGTTTCAAACAGAATCGTTCAACTTGTGTGGTTTTTTCAGTTAAGGGAAAACTTTTATTTTAGGGACATGCAGATCTATGTTGCTTATCGGAGGGCATATCCGGTTCACAATGGTGACGTCACTTCAGTTTAAAACATGCCTACTGCACATAGAAGTACATACATTGATCGACGTTTACATGGAACCGAAAGTTAACGCACAACTTCAGCGATTGTCCAATGAGAGCCTGCAAATTGTTACGCATCCGCCTTTGTGATAAAGTCACTTACTAACTGGATAAATAATGTTTGACCATGTCTCCTTTCTCTATAGCTGATTCAGTGATGTAACTCCCATTGACAGTTCAAATCACCCAGATCAATTCCAATCAGTCAGATTAGTTGAAAAATAAGATCCACGTCACATACCTGATCAGAAAGCTGTATAATGTCGTGACCTTTATGATTTCCCATCAGAGCACACAAGGCACAGATAGGTACCTTGTCTTCCTTGCAGAAGAACTCAAATTCCCTTCGTTCGTGCTCCTTGCATCCCTCTTCACTCCTGTAAAAAAAAGAATTAATTAACATTGCTTCATTATCTCTTCACCAAGTTTCCTCAAGCATGAACGATTAGAATATTGGCAGAATCTTTCCATTCTACCAAAGAAGACAAACAATATTATTAACAGAAACTTCAAATTACCAAAAGTCAATTTTCTTGAGAAAATAATAATCATGAGGATCTATTTCCCTCAACTCACCTGGGTGTGCTCAATGGAATAGAAGGGTGCGTCTGAAGAGCACGTGACCCACGATGCAATCGTGCAAAGCAAGGTGCACAATAAATGTCGCCACACTGCTGGCACTGACAGGTGGCTATGATACGATGACAACCAGTGCAGAGTTCCTTGCCTCCTGAAAGAAAGGCAGAAAAGCTAGCATTACCAACTTTACATAATTTTATAGCAGTACTAAAGAAACATCAAAAAATAAGGAATATTTTTATTTCTTTACTTGATATTTTTACCTTCCAATTGTACCCCTTTGTACTCAAGCTTTGAAGAAGGCTGAAACTCAACTTTCTGGTCACTAAAATAAAAACAGCAAACAGAATGCTTGAACAATGACCATTCAGATCCAACACGGAAATAATCTGAAGGTCTCCAAAAATTAATCACCTAGGCCTACAACTTCTCAGAAAGGTAAGATGTAATCTGTTTACAACCATGAAAAAAGTTAAGGACTTACAACATATCCATGACTTGCTTCGTGTTCCAGGTGGCATATCCAAGCATGTAGTAGTTAGCTGGTAACTGCTTGATACTAGCTTCACCTAATGGCATAGAGGTCACTACCTGACATGTTGGGCATGCTATGCTTGTCTTGAGAACCTTCACTTGTTTGCTGATACATCCCTGACAGAAGGTGTGGCCACAACGCAAGAGGAGGGGCTGAAGAAAACGTTCATGGGCTGAAAGAAAAAATTATGTCACAAATTGTTGGTGAAAAAATGCTGTGCCTGAAAATTGTGGCTGCATCTGAAACATGCGCTTTGCCCTTGTGAGTAGCCACTTGAAATTTTCACGTATACATGTAGTACTATTGCTCTCATCTGCGGCTAGTTGATTCCAACATTCACTCCATTCAGCAATCGGCATGATTTTTTGGGTAGGGGGATCCCAAACTAATGACTAAACTGGAGGAAAAGAAACAAACAGAAGTCTAGTTTCCCACATCAAGTTTATCAGAAGGCAATGAAATAACTCACTTGCCCACCAATTCCACAAATACCTTATCGGGAAACATTTTTCCCAACCACATCAAACTAATGAGCAGAAAACAATGATATTTCACATGCAGAGATGCCAACTTTTCAAAATGAAACAGTGTAATCCTATCACACTTCAATTAGAAAAAAAAAGATAAAACAAAGTTTAAAAAAATCCTGTTGTCTTTTCTTTCAACACAAACACCTGCAAACAATTTCTTTTCACATCAAAACACTTGTATTAACCTGACTAGCATTGTGCAAGTGTGAATTGTCCTTAATTGTTGATTATATTTCAACATTAATTCTGATACGTTTTTATTTTAATCAATTTGTGGCAACTTTTGGCAACTTTCGTCCCATTCAATCAGCACAAAATATTGTCTAAAAATCCTTACCTACCGAACTTATTTAATGGGAAGCAGAGCTTTTTTTTCTTGGCCTAATTAATGTGCTTCTCAGTGTCATAAAATCCAGCACGGGCCATATTCATCATGCCACAGTTACATGCATTGCAAAACATGTAAGTTTCTCCGTGACAAGACTCTAATAAAGGCCTATTTTTGGTGTATTCCTCCCTGAACTTCTGCTCACTTGTTGCCACTGTGCAAAACAAGTCCAGTTGCTCAATAAATATCCAAGAATCAAATCCTCGACAGTCCTCCACTCTGGTCAATTTTAGCACGACTATGATTAATATGAGGTGCATTGTGACGCTACATGTACATGGAGCTTAAGTAGAGTTTACACACATGGTTTTGTACCTTCAAGTTGAAATTCATAAAAATCTTAATCTGGATCGTACTAAACAAATCGTAAATATTGTGCTTAAATCGTACAAGTTGGCATCTCTGCACATGATATACTGTCCAAGCCGCCCCGAGAAAACTGTAAATCATACACATGCATGTACCTGCCATAGCGTAGGTACGTCATGTGCTAGTTTTACATGTCTTAAGCTTGTATCGACCATGATCATGATGCATTCTGTTGGTTAAAGACGTATGACCATTATCTCATAATTAGTACCTACCTCCATGACCATCCCACCATGCCTACAAAAAACAATGACAGATTTCTTCACAAATTGTAACTTAGGCCTAGGCCTATGTAAAGTTTGTTTACCAGGACCTTGAGCCCCTCTAAAGCTTCGAAAGCAGTGGGGGCACGTCTGGCCCCCCTCCCTGGCCTCCTCCATACTGCAGTGGATTTAATCACAAAGTTGTGGTGACTTTTTTAGCTTCAACTTTCAAGCATTTTCAATGTCACGTCAAGTTAAGAGGAAAGCGCCTCGCCACGGCGTCTTGGAAGTGAACATGCTGAACATTAACGTAACAAGTGCTGTTGCGCCACCATGCGACGTAATGAAACCACCATAAAAGTTAATAGGTCAAGGGTTATATTGCATATTCATAAATGATCCATGGTAACGACGTTGATTGTGTACGCCCAGCGTATGCACAGCATGTACAATATTATTTCGAGTTGGCCAGTTGAATGATTTCGATCTTTAGCTCAGATGGAAGTTAACAAAATCGGTAATTTGGGGGCATAATCTCAGCTAAACCGTTTTCCTGCCTGGTCAGGATAAAAAAATTGATATTGACATGGCAGAGGTTATGCAGGAATTATTCTCAGATGCAAGGAAACACCGATTTTCGACGATTCCAAATGTCACAGATGACGGTAAGTTTACCCATGAACCGAACAAAATCCAATGCGTTACCAAGATCGAGGAACGCCTTTGTGTTCAAGCCTCACTACTCTGGGAAGGGATGTAAACGATTTTTAACTTTTGTACTAGGCCCAGGCCCATATGCATAGCCCAACAGTACGCCTGAAATAATATTACTCATATTAGGTATTTGTTTGGTTGATTTTATAGAATGTATCTCTAGGTGCTCTTTCTTGATATTATTTTGATTTTCCAATTTGCAGATGTCATCAGCGTTTGGGAAAATGTTTCTGCTTTTGTTGAGAGACACATGAATATGCAAAAGGTAGGCTGTAAATTTGGATTAACTAAATGAATGCACCGTCATTGTTAAGTAAACTTTGTACTTTATTGCTTTGAACTAGCCTACTTGTTATATGAAGGAAGTGGACATGAATATAAGAAACCATAAAAGAGGCCTTTAGTTGCCTTTAGTTAAAAAAATGTGTTTTCAGGAGAAGTATTTAGGCCTAATCAGTTTTGTAATTATTTTTAATTCTCATTGTTTTCATTTTCAGGGAGTAAACATTCCAGGCCTCGGTACCTTTACCTTCACACAGAAGAAGCTTGACATCGGTAACAACAAATTTATTCTCATCCAGCGTCCGGTGTTCAGTCTATCTGAAAAGTTTGCACAGACCCACAGACTGGACTACGCAAAACATTTCACATCAGGTATTAAAACAGTCAGTTCTTTACTTAACAGTTTCAAACACCTTTACCAGCTGATTAGTTGGTTTGTTTAAAAAAAATTATTTTAAGTTAAACTCCAATATTTAACCATCTAATAGGGCCATAGTTAGAAGGTCCAAATTCAAGAGTTTATCAGCTTGAACCATAATTTCTTCGGTAATGTTAGAAAGCTGTTGATGCGTTTCAGTCTTTAATTCTGCGTATCATAATTATTTAATTACAGGTCAAATTCCAATTGTCCAACTCAACTTCACTGTTCTATCTGCGGAGAGTCCCTTTGACCGTGATACAGTTGAGAGATGTGTTAAGGAAGTGTTACTGTCATTGTCACGGTCTGTACAATCCAACCGCAATGTGGAATTTACATTTACTGGCATTGGTCGTCTGGCCATACGAGATGGAAAAGTCAAAATGAAATTCTACAAGGATTTCTTGAACATGATGGATGGCTCGGGAACGTTAGCAGAGGCCTTGAAAAATGTAAGAGACGAAAAATTGTCAGTTTGACAAAATCTTAGTATAAAAGCACTTTCAAAGTGCCTAAAATGAATTCTATAATCAATTCAGTAAACTTTCCACATTATATAGATTACTGAAGTGAATACGTCACACGCACAATTAGTGTGTAAGAGGCATGAGCGCATGAACCAGCATGTGAACCAGCACGCGCGCGTACACCATTCATTTGCACTGCACTTTCTGGTTCAAAGTGACGTCACACTTCGGTACTCTATACTATTAGGGAAATGCGAGTTTATTTATTGTCCTTAGGGACACAACTCTTGCTATCTGATCTCATATGCAAAGCTAACCTTTCTTGTTAACCTTTTAGATACACAATTGTGACATATTTGATTGAATCACTATGCATGATTGTGCAACCTCGTAACAGCATAGCGTTATAAACCAGTCATGCAGTTGTAAGCATAAGTAACCTTGTTTTGCTTCTTTTTTGTTTACAGAGACCAGACACGGCTGATTCTGTTTTGTCTAGAGCTTCTACCTACAGACCTTTAACAGGAAACACACTTGTGTTACCCAGGTGAGCAAGTGGATACTCTTTCAGATCTTGTTTTAGAGGTTTTCATGCTATGTCTTTTTTCAGGTGTCTTAGGAGTGACTTGGTCAGAGAAAAAATTACTTCATTAGTTTCTTTAAAATGTTTACTCAAGGAATATTGCAGGACTGAGTAAATTACCAAGTATAGCTTTCTGTAAATTCAAGAATAATATTTTTTGCTTGTGTTTGCTGTTCACTGTCTAGAATTTCCCAGGGTTCCAGCAAAGGCGGATTAGCTCTGGAAAACGAGGAACCTCTTAGAAAAATGCCAACTATAGATGAGGATCAGGAGGTCACAAATAGAGAGGTGGAGCTCCAAGAACCAGAAGGGGAGGAAAATGAAGAATTGGTCCTGAATGAAGGGGAGGAACAAGGGAATGAAGAAGAAGTAGAAGGCACAGATGGTCAAGAGGGTAAGCAGAATGGATGAAAGTGGGTGGGAGAGACATGAGCTGCAAGATTCAAAAATAAGGTGCAAGCACCAGCAACCAGGAAAAAACTTGGGCAAAGACAGGAACAGAAGTTCCTGTACACAAACTTGGCTGTGGTCTCGTATAAGAGCTAAGGCAATTTCTTGGCCTGCTATCACTGATGGAAACTTCAGTATGTATTTCTTTTCTTTTCAGAACCAGTCACTGAGAAGAAAGTCTCACTGTCTCGTACTCCTTCACGTCAAGTGGCACCTACTGCTAAAGCAACCGGCATCAGCCTGATTGACGATCTAACTTTACCCACCCCTCCCCGTGGGATCAAAGGCAGCAGTGTTACCCCTTCACCACCCAGTGGCAAGCCCACTTCCCCAAAAGGGAATCTGACGCCGCCCTGCTCACCTAAATCTAGATCCCCAGAGAAGCAGGCAACATTTGCTGGGGCTGTGGAGACGAGGGAGTTTACACCTCCAGGGACAGCATGTGGGCACAGAGCCGGCCAGGAATTATGCTACTTGTGTCATCAACGAGCTGTGAGGAATGTCCCAGTCTCATTCGAGGCCGAGAGGAGACGTAAGGAGCAAGAGCAAGACAGACTTCTACAGCAGTATCAACATTTAAAGGACACTGAGGCAATCGTCACTGAACAGGTAAGAGGTTGTAAGAGGTTTGGGCACCTGTTAAGACCTTACCATACCCCTCCAAAAATCCAGCCACGTCATTGAAACACTTATTCAAATCACTTGCAGATGTCGATACTGAAGATATTTCAACTACAAAGCTTGCTAAACCTCACCCCAAAACGTTTTCCTAGTTTATACAAAGAAGCAAGAAATATCACCTACTAGGTTTTTTCATGCTAGTGGTTTTATTTTTCAGGCCCAGAATCTTGCAAACAGGCATCACTCACAGAAGATAGCAGCATTCAATCTTGGAGTCAGCGAGGCAATCAAGAACAAAAAGAAGGAACGCCAAACAGATTTCCATGTGAGTCAAGATGAATGTCTCATTACCATTCAAATGAATGAAGAAAGAGAATGGGTTCATGTATTTGCCTTTGCTAATCTGTACAATTTTAAACCACAAACTAGAAGTAGATCTGCACTAGGAGTCAGTGTTCCTGTAACTATATATGTACAGCTCAAATAAAACCACCACCAACTGAACAGCAAACTTTTTCGTTCCCTTTCTATAGAGATCTTATATCTTCCAGCGACGCTGCCTGACTCCACCACGGCACATCAAACAGGAAGAATATGCTGATCAGCTGGCAGAGCAGGTTGAAGCAAAGGCAACCAATAAGATTGGCCGCAAACATGATCAAGAATTCCTGGAGAGATTAGAGCAAGTGCAGCTGGCAGAAGAGTAAGTACTGTAGTAGACCCAAGCTTTCTTGTATAGGAACGCAGTTAAATTGTTCAGATATGTGTGCCCAAGTTGTATTACGCTTACTTTGTATTTGTATTCTTTTTCAGACTTGCTGCTCAAAGAGAACAATATCTGCGAGACAAGGCAGCTCAGACAGATATGTACCAAAGAGCTCTCTCAGCACAAGTAAGAGGCATATCAAATTTGTTGAATTGAATCATCTGATACAGCTTAACAATTTAGAATCCTATGACAACAGACAGGAGGGAATTGTTACTGTAAAGAGTTCGATGGCCAACTGACTAGCTGATTAACTTTCTGGAAGGCTAGCTGGCTGGCATGTTGACTCGTTTTTGGGGCCACCTAGCTCCTCATTTGCATTGCTAGCTAGTTGACAGGACAGCCCAAGCTTGATTTGCTGGCTGACAGTTTTTGTGCATCCTTGTATCATGCTAACCATTCATATACACACATCCTTTTCACATCCTCCTAATTTACACCTGTAATACATTCACAGTTCATCATATCTTTACATGAGTTTTCACCTTTTCATTAATTTTCATATCCTCATTTAACACCACCTCTCTCCTCATCACCTGCCATCCTTTCTCCATCTTTACTGTGCATCTTCCCTTCCTCCTTACCACCCTCATTTAACACACCACCTCCCATAGATTCACATCCGGGACAGACTTGTCAAAGCTGCTGAGATGGCTAGCCAAGATCAGCAAGGTTACATAGATAGGGCTGGGGGTTCTCCCAGCCAGAGAGGGTTGATCAGTCCACGTCTTCTAGGGCCTTTGAGCCTTCCTGTACCTAAGATCATTCTACCATTCTCTAAGATGGAACCACTTAGGCTTAAGCTTCCAGATCAGCGTACGGTAGGGAGTACATTGTAGTTGTTAAGCTATAGGGTTTCTTGTCACAGCAGGAAAAACTATTAACAGTCAGCTGATAGTTCAGGATTAATCTGTTTGTTGACCAGAGTAACTCTAAATTAGTTGACCTGATATCAATGCAGGTTATTCAAATAGGTTAGTTGAAAGTGCCCATTCATTAGTTACCCTTAGAAAAGTTGACTATATACATGTATGAGTTGATCAGCCTTAGGTTTAGGTGACCAGAAATAATTTAGCTCAGAGATCAGCCATCAAAAGTGCATTTGATCCTACATTACACTGTGTACTGTTGGATGGACCAGATCAGTAATTGTTCCCAGTTAAACATAATTGATCAGAGTTAGTTTACCACAGTTTGCTTGTCAAATGCTAGTACAAATACACCTGTAGTTATAGTTCTATAGCTGTAGAGCTATCATTTTCCACAAGTGAATGATTGAAGTAATAACCTCTCGTTATTCCATCCAAGGTTCGTTTCAAGCCTCTCCCTCTGCCAGCAGCTGTGCCCGACTCTAAAGAACCCATCTTTGGTAAGAATGATGCAACCAATGAGCAACTAGCTGATAAGCGTCGTCGGGCCATTGAAGTGTACAAGGAGCAACTAAATGCAGTAGAACATTCCCGACGACAGAAACTGTTCAATCATCTAAAAACACAGCGGGAAGAAATGGATATACTAGACAGGACACGTCGAGAGTGAGTTGATTTCGTTTTTTGTCTTCAATCAAACAAAAGCTGTAAAAACCAGTGCTTCCTTGAAATAAAGTTACCTTAACTTCCATGGGGCATATGAAAAATTGTATTAATATAGAAGGTGTAAGACTGTTTAAGTTGACAAACTTGATAAAACTTTCACAGTCAGTGAGCATAAAGAGATGTGCGGCATTTGTGCAAAGGTAACTTGTATGCAAATGAGAGACTTAAGTTTCAGTGTGCATAAGCTGGTTTACAATCAGTCGTTGTTTATTGTACACGTCGTGTTTGTTATGTGGAACTGAAATGCAACTTTTCTTTTCAAAATTTGGTTAATATAGACTCATAGAAGACAGGGCCAACCGTTACAATGATTCTGTCAAAACTCGCAAATCTTTGGAAGAAACTTGGAAAGAGGCAGCCAGTCTGAAACGACAACGCGAAGAGGAGCAGAAACTACGAGCTCAGAGCCCAGGAATCCTGATGCATGAACAGTGTGAGCATTATCATCGTTGTGACCAATGCAGACGTCGTCTTGGCAACTGTGGCGAGTCTAATATTTGGAGTGAGTCTCGATACATTCCAGGATCAAGACTCATGGTATAACCTTTCTATAGGGTATAAAAACACTACATAACACCCAAAAGTAAACTTACAAAAACATTGTGAGATGCAGTAATTACAAAACGTATTCATTATATGCAGGGTAACAAGCTCTTTTTTTGGAGGGGGAGGAATTTTTTCTTGGGGAAGTGGAATTTTGATGAAATCTTTTCAGTGAATGAGATGAATGCTTCCTTAACACCTCTGAGGTTTGGATCAAGCTATTTACCTATGTGCAAATTTCTAACTAAAAAATATTGTTTCCAGTGTGTTTATGGATTAAGGGATTGTTGTGAACTCACTATTGACATTTGCATGGTTTGGGAGTGATAGGCTGAAACCACAAATTTCTATTTCACTGCAAATTTTACAAGGGCTGGAACACTAAATAAGGACAAAAGGCCATTTTAGCTTTTTCATGTGATTAGTAATAATTCGAAGTACAAATTGCTTGAAGGGGTAGTATTACGAGATACTTCTGTGGTGTGGAAGCATTGTGGGATTTTGTAATCTCACCAATAGTTCTTAAAAGTAAGCAAGTGTAACTCATAACACGAATCATGGTCCTGTACACACTTAGCACAACTTTGTTTTATTCTAAGGCACCATAATGGAAATATTTAACATCACAATTTTTGGAAGAATTCCTTTGAAATGTGACCATTCCCTCGTAAGAATAACTTAAGTCAAAGTTTCTCCAATTCAAAGCACATAAAAATGGTTTAAAAGTGCATGCTATTTTTTATAGGATGAGATTTTGTATAAGTACAAGTACACAGGAATATTTCTGGATTTTTGAAGCACTGTACAAAGGTTTTGTAAATACATGTAACAATTCCATACATGTAATTCAGTGTCTGTCTGCTTAATCCATATTTAGTGATATTTTGGGGAGAAGCAGAGAAAGTCAGCTTAACTTTATCTTATATTTACAATGTGGTAATTTAATTAAAGATTTTAGACTTTGAAAGTGATGCATTTTGTACCAAGTCACCATTGATCATCGTGAAAGCTGTGTTAAACCGGTTGATCTTTCTCTCAGTGTTCTTCCAAATACATGTATATGAATCCATTCTAATAAAATTCCATTCCTATCACATCAATGCAAACGAGAATTTGTGCCCTATTTCTTTGGCTTTTTGTTGCTAAGATACACATCTTGGAGACCAGAGCATTGCTCAGGGAATGTATGTACACCCTTATAGAGCTACGAGTAACCAAGCGTTAATTAATTACAGAGGGCTGTCGGCTTAGTCAAAACTTCAAATTAATGGAGACAATCAATTTTACAGAATGTCCAAATTGCAGTGCCATTAGGGACGGGAAAGCAGCCAGGTGATGTAGGAAACTACTCGCTAATGTGTTTGCATTCTCAAGGTAACAATGAAATAAATGTCAACCATGCACAAAACTGTTGATTTTAGATTGCTAACATGGACAGCAAAATAAATGACATCCTAATTTTTTTTTCTGAAGACTTTAAATGCCACTGCTGCGCTCATATGTCAGTACTAGTTATCACATACATGTACTCTTAATTTTATCAAGTAAATTTCACATTGATTTCTGAAAGGCTCTGAGTGTCATCAGACTAAATGCAGCAGCAGGGAATATCAAATCTTATGAATTGATTTGTCTTCAGATGCATAATTTGTCCTTGCCTGATAGAGTACTGGCGCAATATATTCATTCCATTACATGTACATGCTGTCTTCACATACAAAAGTATGTGGCACACTTTGGTACTGCACGTATAAAAAAACAGAGCTTTGTAATATAAAAAGATACATTTCAATGCAATTAATAATAATATATCAATATATATACAGTACCTCTGTGTATAAAGTTGTAAAGAAGTTACTGTTCATGATGTGAATGCATCAGCTATTTTGTCATGGACTCTACATGTACATGTATTTACTCGACTTGAAAGACGACACTTGAAGTTACTACAATATATACAACTCAACCTTTGACAATCACTTATAAGCTGCAACAGCACAACCAAACAAAAAGGACATGTATGTCACCATTTTTTTAAATTTTATTTCCAGAGAATAGCCTTGTCAGTTAAAAATCTGCTATTCTGAAGGGCCCTGATTGCATTTTTAATGTTACATGACTCGTCACTTAATGACTTAATAGTCATCCTGACAATTTTCGTAGATAACACTTTCCTTTCTAGCTGCCTGCAATGTTTCAACCCAATACGACATCTAGTTCAAGTGATAAAGTGCTTAAGGCTGCAAGTTTAATGCCATGTCACTTGTAAACTGATGACGTCATCGTCACATCATGTCAATATTCGTAGATAACACTTTCCTTTCTAGCTTCCTGCAAGGTTTCAACCAAATATGACATCTACTTTAAGAGATAAAGGCGGCCATGGGACTTGTCATATAATGACATCATCGTCACATCATGTCAATTTTTGTGTGTATTGCTTCCCGTTTTACTTAACTGCAAGGTTTCAACCCAATCCGACATTTACTGCAGACGATATAGTGCTTTGCAGGGTGCACCTTTAATATCAATGATGATGTCATTGTCACATTATGCGAATTTTCGCGTATAACACTTTGTCAAGAAACATGGCCAGGGCATGTAGTTCAAGAGATACAGTGCTTTGGAGGTTGCAACTTTAATGTCACATGACTTGTCACCTGGTGTAACTTTAATGAGGATGCAACATTGCAGAGTAACCAAAGTGGCACCTAGACAAACCGTGCACAAAGTGAATGAGGTTTTGGGGAGAACAATTATGAAAAATACAGAAGAAAAAAGTAGAAGAAACGGAATGCATTTTATGCACAGTTGCACAAAAAAAAAAAACAATTTAAAATAAATTAATTTAATGATGGGGAAAGAAGAAACAAAAACTGGAAAACATTCGAACAACAAAGGAATTGTGTGTGAAAAATAAATAAAATAGCAAAGATTAATCGAATTAGTAGCTAGTAATTAGAATAATAAAATAAACATAAAACATATAACGAAAAAAAAGAGTAATAGCAAAATAATTATAAACAAACTTCAAATGATGATGATGATGATGCTAAAATTAACAATGAAAAGTTCATGGAAAATAGAGTAAAATATAAAGCAAAAAATAAAATATAAAATGTATATGTAATAAAAAATAAAACTAAAATTGAATGGAATCAAACACAATTGGTTAAATAAACGTAATCTGAAACTTAAAAATCTGTGACAGTGATTAAATTTAAAGATTAAAGACAATATTAAGGTTAAATAAAATTCAACCATAAAAGTTGTTGAGTTTAGAGAGGGACTCCGCCTGCCTTCTTGAGGCAGTCAACTTGTTCCACCCCAAGGTCCCTAGATATTGGAATGTGCATTTGCCTCAATTTGAGCCATTTAACAGCAATCAGATGCCAAACGAATGGGTTGGAGGTTCAAACGAGAGTTAAGGTACCAAGGATTAAATTTTCTAACACACTTGTAGACTTCATAATGTGCATTAAGAATTAATCTAGCGAGTAGATTTTGCAGTTTAACAAGTCTCTCAAGATTGCTGTTAGAACAACTGGACCTGGCACTCTTCAGCATTTTAAAAATCCAAGCAGGGGAGGCAAGGTTTGGCAGAATGACAAAGAAACCAATTTTGTTCAAGATTTTCTCAACAAAGTTGATTATGATCTGATCATGATAGCGACTTGTCTAGCATTACCCCTAGATATTTAAAACTATTGACACACTAAATAGCCTCTCCGTCTAAAGTAATGTGAATGTCTCCAACATGAGATAAACGATGACCTGTGCCAAAAACCATGAACTTTGTTTTGCTGACAGGGTGAGCTTATGTTGTGAGCTTGTCTGATCAAGGAAATCACGAAGTTGGTTATTTACAGTCCTATTTAGAATCTTAGACACATGTGGGAGAACTGAAATAGGTCTGTAATTACTGATGTCAGTGAGCCTAATAATAGAAATATCAGATTATATCAGTTAACAAAATATTTCAGCTTCAAAGTATCTGTGACCAGCTTTCACTTCTTTTAAGAAAAGAACAGAGCATTTGCGAACAACACCTTTTTCAAAGCACTTACAGTAACTTGTCCTAAAATGAAAGCTACTTGCACAAAAGCTGCAGGACTAAGGCAGAAAATAAAAACCAAGCCTGGGAGGCAAACCTGATGAGATTCAAAGCTGGTATATCAGAACTGTAAGACCCCCCCAAAACATCACTGCTTTAAATGATCAAAATGTTCAGCTAAACTGACTTCAACATTGCAAGCTTCCCATAATGTTGTTCCCAGACTAATTTTTACCATACATCTACACATGAAAAATTTAAAGCTCATCTTTATCCATTTGAGATTTTTCCTCCATCTTGGCTGGCTCAAGACGTTCCAGGGATGTCAACAGATCATAACTTTGTGCTGTCTTTTCCAACAATGTCTGCAGCTTTTTCTGAAGAATAATACATGTACATAAAATTGTCTTCCTGTCTAAAACTGAAAGTTACAAGACTTTTTTGACTAAGGGAGCATACCCCACACACGCTTTTTGCAGGTTCTATAATGAGGTGGGGCTTAATTGATCAGTTTATTAATCACAATTCCCCCCCCCCATTTGAAAATAGTTCCGCTGCCAATATAGCTAGAGTTATAATTAGTAACCATACTTTCAAAGTAATAATGTCATATATCACAGCAACACAAACTTGCCACTCGAATCTCACCTCTTTCACTTTACTGATCTCCTCATCAATAACATCAATAAGCATCATCAGCTTCTCCTGGATGCTGAGTGCAAATGGCCCCCCTTCCTCCTTCTGTATAAAAAAGAAAATAAGTCAGACTCCATCAGACTTTAATAAGCTTCAACCTTCACCATTCAATCATTTACACAGCACTGGTTGAGGGCACCATATTAAGTGAAGGTTTCTGTATCAACACCAAAAACCTGCATGAATTATTTATCGGAAGCAGACAGGACTTGATAATTCATTCAAGATGGAATATAATCACAAAAAACATACCTCAATGGGTAACTTTTCCATGTCTTGCGATGTTATTTTTCCATCTTCATCTGCATCCAATTGTTTAAAGATCTGTAACACAAGAAATAAAAAAACTAACTTGCAGTATAGACAGAAATGTAACATGATTAAGACAGGAAGTCAGAAACACAGTAGGACTGTCCT